CAAGTTGTATGTGGAAAGTGGGGGGGGGGGGGGGGGGGCTAAACCTACGAAGCAATGTTCAATGTCTATACTAAGTATATATTTGGAAAAAAGGGGGGCTAAGCCCTCCTAGCCCCCTGGTTCCGAAGCCTATGTAAAATAATAATAGGTTGGGATGTTTTTAAAAGTGTTCAAACAATTTGCATTAATTTTTAACAATTTGTATTACTTATAACAATTTTAGCGATGTATCAAATAACCTCAACAAACGGGTTATGAATATATAACAGTGAAGCAAAATAACGGAATGTTTAATTTTTTCCCCGGAAATTTCGATAAACATATGTCAATCTGTTTTATTCTCAATCATAAAATATCGTAGAAAGTGGGACAGTCACTGTACAATGTATGCGAGCATCTGTACTGTATATATTCTCGACAAAATTTACAAGTCTCCAACAGATAGAGCAGACACAGGAGAACGGGGGCGAATTTTCCCTACTTTTTTGCGTACAACATGAGAAAGTGTTAAACAATAACAAAATAAATTGAGAAGCTCAAAAGCTCTTTCTTCAAAATATTCATTTTAATTCAACAGCTAAAACTAATTCCGGAAGAAGTGGCCAAGTAAAATACTCTGTGACTTGTCTCTGTCATTTTTAAACTAAACTTCACTTTATGTATTTATCAATATCCTTGGCCAGGTATCAAAGATTATGTACAGTTCTTATTACTTGCAAGGAAAATTGCAACAAAGACGATGTATTTTTCTATAACTTACATCATCTACGGAAGTGAAAAAGATGTAATATCATATACTTCTTTAATTTAATTATGATTATAACGTAGTATTTGATTGGATAAAAAATTATTTTTTATTGCATTAAAAATTTGGTTACCTAAGTCACAATCACTTGCATAAAAAACGCATTGATCCGCCTGACGTAACATTTCAATATTGTACAATTTTTATACGATTTTTTTCTTATATAAACCACAGCGTTATAAATTGGGTAGCTAAGAGAGGTAATTCAGGTCAATTTTCACTGCATTGCTATTTTAAAAAAGATACCTTACCTAGTTTAATGCTCCTGCTTAATTTTTCTTGCATGTGCATCACGATAAAACAGCTGGAAATTAGCAGCTTGAATTCAAAAATCTTTAAAAACTTGTTTGTTTGACATTCTAAGATGAACCGACTAAAATCTTTTTAAAACCTCCAAATTATTCATTCCGGAATTTTCTCATCCAATCAACAACTATTTTTTTTTATTTCCGAAACACCTTCATTCAATATTGAACATTTCCGACAAAAAAATTCGACCTACCTTCCGACGCATTTTTTTTTTTAAAGTGAATAGAAAGACAGCAAACAAACTCCATTTTAAAAAAGGCCTTACGGGATTTTTTTAACATCACACATCTTTAAAAATATACTCTTAATAATTGTGAAAAGGATACTTCACACAGATACTTGACGGAGAATAACTTCTTAAAGAATAAACTAAATCAAACCACACTCAAGAATCTTTTTCAGCATATAAATAAAACAACATCCCCTTGTTCTGCAGGGGAGAGTTTTTTTTCTCGAGGAGGCGTTTTTACGTCGCTTTTTCCTTGTTGACTTTAGACGCGTCTTTTGACGTTACGTCATAATAGACATAAGGGAGGTTTTTGCTTGGCGCGTCACATTTGTATTTTTATCAGTGAAAAGTTAAACTCAAACTGATACCAAACAGAATGTTTACTTTGTACGCAGGATTCATTTGAAGAAGACCCCGCCAATGCACCAAATAAACATTCTTGGCGGTGATTTTTTTTCCCTTTATATTATTTTTTATTAAAACCTACTTTAACACCTCTATATTCTTTAATTTTTTAAAAATAAAATATTTTCTATCAGATAACATCCACAGGCACTAGTGACATAACAAAAATATTACCCCTCGCTTACAGTTATAGGTAGAACATGTATGTGTAACGTCAAGTCTTGTGGAGATTGTATTCATTAACTTTTTTTTCCCTTTTGTACTAGCACTGATGAAGATCTAGAGCAAACACGTATTAAAAAAAGGAAAAAAAAGGGGGAGGCGATGTCTGATTTTGGTTTTTTAACAATTTTATTCCATGCCTCCTTTCTAGACGTTATAATCACTGAGCCCTCACATTCTATCGTTTTCAAAAGGTTTTCTGTTGGACCTCCCCCCCTCCACAAAGTGCAAAATGTGGTCGTTTTTTTTAACTCGTCAATCAAATATTTTTATGATTGCTTCCATTTTTAAAGTGATGCAGAATTAAAAACTTGTCCTGTAGAGATACTAGGTGACAAAATATTTAGAGCGCTTCACTGCAGTTTGATGAAGATACATATAATAATTTTTCATAGTTTATGATATCTATGATCAGAAGAAGTATAAATTCCAATTTACAAATGATTTGTATATTGAAATTAATAAATACAATGCCGTTCAATTAATTTACTGTACTCTCCAATCACAAAATTTGCATACGTACACGTGTACGTATAACTAAATCATGTTATTGACGTTGACGTCAAGTATAACGTGAACGTCAAAGTTTCGCGTACACGTTGTTACGTCACTTGTAACTAAACCTCTCTAATGTACAATATTAGTTATCCAGGTTCAATCAAGGGTGTACGGGGATTTACCCCAGGTTTTATTCCATACACCCTGAGGCCAACCCGGGGTAAATCCCCGTACACCCTTGATTGGACCTGGATAACGAATTTATTTCCTTCATACCCATAAAAATGCTTTGTAAACATCAAAGTGTGTCTCAATCTATCGATTAGATAAAGTTCTACGTACTAAAATGCATCGTGACGTCACGTTATTTGGTTTTTATCATAGAGAATGTATGCATTGTGACGTCACGTTTTATTTACACCCGGCTCAAGTCGGGTGCACGGATATTTACACCCGACTTTGTAACCAATCAAAGCTCGTGTTTCAAACTAGATAGGAAATAAAGTTTAATACTATACAAGCAGTTATAACGTTTGGCATGTGCAAATGCCATAAAATCATGATTACAGTGTGGTAAATATTTAAAAAAATATCTTCAGTACGCAAATATATACATTTTCAGAATTAGGAATAAAATTTATACATCCATATTGATATATACATTGTAAAAGTATAAGAAGAAGATTGGTAGGTAGATGTTTACAGTTGTAGTTTATGCATGAAGATAAGTTCAATAAATGAATATACATATACATTAATTCGGGATTCCATTTATTTGATCTTTATAACTGAATACTTACTAAATATTAATGCAAGAATATTTAGTTTAGAAATCTTTCAAGAACAAGCAAATGACTGTAGTCATTCAAAATACATACGACAGTGTAAAGTACATTACTAAACTTATCGTTACCATTAAACAAATAAACTGAGTAATAAAAAAAGTACTATAAATAAAGAAAAGATTGAATTAAATCATTTATATATTTTCACACTATTTGAAAACTTGATGATTGTCAAGACTTTTTCTTCACAAAGATATGCATCTACAAACGAGATGATAATTTAACGCAATTTTGGGCTAAATGAAATGTCAGAGGAAAACAGCTAGGGTATGGATATGGTCGTCACGGACGTGGTTAGGGTACACGAGAAATGGCAGGAATCAGAGAATGTCAGGGGACTTCAAGGAGTAGAGACAGCTAAAAGAGGAAGTTAGGGGACATAGGGACTAGAAAGAGTAGTCAAAGACAACGACATTGGATCGTAGGTGAGAGTCGGGGAGAAAAGAGAAAATGATAGGGACTGAAAGAACATCAGGGTATTTTTTTTTTGAGATCTAAAATAAATTTTTGTGACAGGAGTGCTTTTAAAATGTGCTTGAGTGAAAATTTCTCTCAATGTAAATTCTAAATAAACATACAAAATTACTAATTTATCACTTACCTGGTAAATCCTGTTTACCTGTTAAAGACACTTTGTATCACGTGCCTTATACGGCTTTTCCGACGAAACCAAAAGTTATGGTTTTTTTAATACGAGTTCCCCACCTAGAGACCCGTCTTCTAGTAGTGCTGTCAAAAGGGGTAGCAAATACACTGAAATTGTACTGGTAAATTTTGTTGAAAATAACTGTAGAATAGTATTAAGAAGTTTTTCTTTTTAATTCCATACAAAATTTAATTCTTTCGGGGAAAATCCGCGGCCGGGGATATGAACTCAACATTTTTTGTAAGCCTAAACACCTATTACTAGTATATCAATATATGTGGACATGCAGATTGACTACTTAATATTCAAGTGAAAAGAAGAGTTTCTCAGATTACATTAAATATTGGAAATTTTTGTTTTCTAGATTTTTCGATACAACTCATGACATAGTGTATGCTGCTAGAGATTTTCATTCCAAAATATTATAAAACAAGAAGTCCAGAGTCACATCGTTTATTTCAGCACTTTGGCTTGGAAAAGGCAGAAATCAGTTCAGTATTTTTCTTAAGTTTAGAAATAAAAATGGTTTGGGGGGGGGGGGGGGGTGAATTGAACAAACTTGCATTTATGCTTCCTAAAGATGCTTTTTCGAATATATTCCAATGTAAAACTACATGTAACACTACATCAAAATGATTCCACATGTTTCATATTTTCAAGCACAATGGTTCTTGAAATTTTCAAATGATGCCGTCGGCTCATGTGAGGTAAAAAAAAACCAAACATTCATTATTAAAGCTAGCACTATTCCTTCGCCAAGCATTCCACACTTTGAAGTGAAAATTGTGAATCTTTCGGAGACCTTTAAAACCAAGGTCACGTGTATGCGTTGGCACAATCAAGAACCCTGACTGCCTAATGGCTCGAGGGCTGAATAAAGGTATCGTATTTGGTGACTCGCCTATATGAGGAAAATTCTCAACAGGACTTAGAACAACATACCGGGTATGCAATCAATCGATCAAAAGTTAATTCTTCTCGTTTACGTTAATATTTAAGAAAAATGTTAAATTTGTTGTACTTTAATAACAAAATTTTAACTAATTTGAAATATGTGTGCTATGACTTGAATTATTATAAAAGATCGTATTTATACTGAAAGGAAAAAGAAACGCAGGGTAACACGATATGCCAAATTTTTTTGACCGCATTACCAAAAATTACGAAAAGTGGTCAAATAAGAATCTTTTAAGTATTATAGACGATATGCATCTCTTGCAATCTTTTTACAGTTGACGGAAGTTCCGTGGGGTCTGACCTTAGTATGGAAAAAAGCAACAACAGGTTGCTGTGTTGTTGTTGCTGTGCAGTTGCAAGTAAAATTTTCTCCCATATAACGTCTTAGGCGTCGTCAAAGAGGGCCTTGAATAGTTTCCAATCAACCGTAACGATGACACGTAACAAGACCAAGTTAAGATTGGGTTGTTCATCCTGCCATCTGTTTCATCGCCACTTTACTACCACAAAACTGCTATGAAAAGAGTAGACTATCATAATCATTACTTTCACCATAACACTGAAAGAAGCCGATTGCGCAATTTGGATTTTTGAGCTGTCAACTTTACGTTGGTGTTCCTGTCACTGGCGCATGCGCGAGTAGTTTTGCCTATTTTTTTCCCGCGTGTTTCCCTCTGGCCAAATGTAGCCTGGGTTTGTCAAGACTTTCTCGCAAACAATCACATTTACCCATTCGACGTGTCTCCGAAAACTCCATATTTTTCTCATTGAACATCTGTGGGACTAAGAGGCAGATACGGTTCGAAATGCCCAAGGTCTCTTTCAACTAAGGTCAGCCTTGTTGAAAAGATTGAATAATATCCCTATTTAAAGGATACACACACTGATGAACTCCATGCAAAGGACACTCAAGGCTGTGATTGATGGGGGTGTGTGTGTGTGGGGGGGGGGGGGGGGTATCGTCTTATGAGTTTCAATAACTCATGAATTATGAGGCAAAATCAAATGGGATTTTGGTTACATTTTCATAAAAGATGATTTTTAACGTTAGATAGGAAAACTAGAGAATACATAAGGAAAAATAAATTTATTTCACCTTAAAAGTTTACCTGGCAGGCGTTTTTTTCCCTTTCAGTATATATACACCACCATTATATTTTTCTTAAGCAATTGATTTGATTACAAATCAAGCAAGTTTACAACACAAACAAAATTAACTGACAGAAGAGTTGTATTTTATTATATGATAAAAACCTGTAATTTTAAGAAATAAACAATATTACAATATATTGCCAGGGCATTAATGAAATTATATTGAATCATACGGATGTAAATATTGATATTATCTAATTAATTTCCATTATATGATATGTGGCATTTACCACCAGGAGAAATTTTCAAACACAACACAGTAACAGTGACCAATAATCAATGTTGGTTACTTCCTTTGAGAAAATACATGTAAAAAAATGTGTTCACTTTATTTACCCTGACCTTCTCAAATGATAAGAGTAGTTGAATTGATTAAAAATTGAGTTATATAATGTATACTTCTATTTATTTAAATTTAGATCTAAGGTCAGATCAAAATAACTAGAAAAATGCCATAGAATCAGGGCTCTTTAGTTTGCAGTGTAGAAAGGGTTCTTTACCTCTTCAAAACTTCTTTCGCACATATTTTGTCTTGTATTTTGTTGTTACTGTTTGTACAGCTGTATTTGTAATCTGCGTGATTAAGGAATAAAAAAAGAAACAAATACCTATAGTATATACATATATCAACTTCACAAAAAAGCACATCGACTGTGTAATTGGTACTTGTACATGTACAACAAAAACCATCGTTCAACAATACAATACTTTTTCATGGTGTCTGCATATTTTCACACAGGTGTATCTCCCGGAGTCGAATCTACAGAAATTTGGCTCCGTTGTGTTGTTTCCTCATTATTTTTTTCCAAACCCACTTTTTTGGAATTGGTCTGTTTTTTGTCAAGGGAAACTTTCTTTTTCTTTTTCTTCCTTTCAAGTTGTTTACTGTTTTCTGCATGCTCATTTGGATTAAAATCATTTCCAGGTAAATTTACCTCAATCGAATCTGGAGAAAGGTTAATCTGAGGTGATTGTTCTATATTACTTTGGGTTTCTCCTTCTTTAGAATCTCGTTTTTGAGAATTCGACTCCTTTTTTCCCGTTGGTATTTTTTCTTTAATTTTCTTTTCCTTGTGCTTGCCTTGTTTACATTCCTTCTCAGAGCGAATCAGACTATGATCTTTTCTACCTGCATTGGACTGTGCATCTTTCTCTATGTTCTGAGTACTTTCCTCCGTTATGTTCGTGAGTCTACTTTTGTCAGATAATTCTATTTGACTTTCATCACCAACTGGTAGGATTTTCTGTAAAGGGTCAGGTCTGGCTATAACTGATTCTGTAAGTACCTCTCTCCACATAGTAGAAAATGTTTTATGTTCCATAAAGACATGTTGAGACCAATCAGGAATAGAATAGCCTTTAGACATATCTTCATGAATTCTTTTTGCCAAGTCTTTTATTGCATCAATTGGTATGATGACTGTCCCAACTGGGTCATTTGGCATCAAACCTTTTGCTGAATCTTCATATATTTTTACTATCGATTCTTTTATCCAACATCTTTTAAGAAGAATTTCAATATCAGCAATTCTAATTAAGAAATTGGCATTTGTGGTCTCTGTGAGAAACTTCAGCACAAAACATAACAGTGAATCATGACAGAAAACAAATAAATCATTTTCTTGGTACAAACAACCCTTTAAACCTTCATTCTGCCATAACAATACTTCAATTCTCTCAATGTCCTTTAGACATTCAGATCCATACTCTTTACAAACATTTTCATAAATGGGACGAATCACTTTGCTTGTAAAATCACCTAGCTTAACTTTTCCCCCTTGAAGAGCTGCAAACATGAGAATACAAAAGCTATTCTTATCATCCTTTGATATGCAAGTCAACCAGTTATGTAAAAAAGTTCGCAAAATCTTTGAAAATTCATCCCTGAAAAAAATTGTTTTTCCCGGCACTAAAAATCTATTTGCACAGATTAAATCAATAATTACCGGTAAAGAAAAGTCTTCATCACTTTTCACATCTTTTGCAACTGCATGTTTGATTTCGTTCCTTTGATTCCTTCTCTCTTTTGCCAACTTTTCCTCATCAGATTTCGTCCTAGTATTCATGGAAACTTCTTTAGTCTCATGATACTGTAAGTGGTTTTTAATCATATGTTGCAGCACTTCTTTACTAAATGATTTGTTTTTTATGAAGAACAAACTGTCTTGGCAAAACAACTTTTGATCTGACAAAAGATCCCTGTATGCATTCCATCTATCGTCTTGGACTGTAAAAATTATTCGTATTCTTTTGTTTTTTAAGCAATCTTCAAAAATATGATCAAATAATTTTGTATCTTCTTTAAATTTTGAAGGGTAGTACATGTAACGATCTATCCAATCATCCATAATTATATATAAGAATGTGTTTCCCGTTTCAGGTAATGCTGTCAACTCATGCAGTGTTTCGCAAAACTTCAACTGGGACAGTTCTTTCTTCCCACATAGTTGTCTTGCAAGTTGGACTGCCATAGAAGTTTTACCCGATCCTGGTGGACCAATAAGAGTGATGTGGCCTTTTGTAGACAAAAAACCAACAGCATCTTCATAGCATTCAGGCCGGCAGAATACTTTGTTCTCCAAGTAATTTATAGTCTTTTTAAATCCTGTAAAAGCATAAAAATTCAATATTTTGTATATTTGAATACAGTCTTCAATGGCCAATGTGAGTGCTAAAAGGAGTGTATGGCTGTAAACATATCAAAGGCTTTGAGATATAGTGTCTGAAAAACATCAGTAATAACAAATGCCTGAATTAAACTTCACTGGAAGTCCTTCAACATAAATTTTAGTGTGTTGCTCAAAATGTGGCATAAGACTTATTGGATGTTCTTTAACGAGATAATTTATTTACGTTCTGTCGCAGATGTACAATTATAATTAGTACAAATTAGTATCTTTTATTATGAAATTCTATTTCCTTGTTGTTTTTTTTTTCATTTTCCGGTGAAATGAGGCTTACTTTAGGAGTTTCTCCAAAGAAAAATTCAGAATGTTTAGTCAAATGACTAAATGTGAATTTATAATTAACAATCGAAGTCTTTTTGAAAACCTGTGTGAATTACACACGTTTTAACAAATACTATAAATTTATCCATAGGGCAGTTTTGCTAAAACAAGGTTCATAAGTTATTGCCTGACGTCACGGCGTCAGGCAGTATAAGGATTGATATTTACAAGATCCGAAAATGTGCGGCCATATCTAAAGAGCTAGATTTTGTGAAAGCTGATTTTTTACAATGGAATTCTTTACCTGCATTTTAAAAGAAACAGTTTTCAGAAAAAAGAAAGATACTACTGATGCGAAATACTGCAGTGTTTACTTCCTTTAATCTTTTTGCATGAAACAGATTATTCCATATGATTTGCCGCTTCATGTCCGTGTATCCTTTTTTCTGCATTTCTATACTACTGGATCAGTCCATTTATATTCTACGAAAGGGGTGAATCGCTCTTTTCGCGCCACTTAGTAAGCTATCTTCGCGCCTTTTCCTTGGATTGTTCTATTGTATAAATGGGTGTGCTAACTTCCATGGAATTAATTAATGTTTGTCCTTTTAACCTCCTTCTAATGCTTTAGAAATTCTATCTACAAGTTTTATACCATTCTTTAAAACAACATATCGTATACAATTAAAACATTTTAAAAGATGGATATAATTAAAAACACATTTTGTTGGAGTGTATTTTCTCCTCTGAACAGAAGTAAACAGTAGTAATGTGTGTTCATGATTTTTTTTCTTAAAAGGGGAAGGGGTTGACACTATCATATAATACATGATATATTGAGAATGAAATAAGTAAATTCAATTGTTAGGCTTTGTAGAAAGAAATATCCAAGATTATTCACTACTTTCTTATTTATCGTGTGCATCTGAACAAAGACATATAATAGATCATGCATCTGGAGACGATGGCTTGAACTGCGTTGTTTATTATTATTGGACTCATCCATTTATGGAATAAACCAACCGCGGGATCGGTAAACAAATTAGAAACATCATTTCTTTAGTGTTACATGTACATATACCATGTATTCTGATATATCCATCTTTTAAAATGTTCACAATGCGAGATTTGATAACACGTTTTATAATAGGTGTTACAATGTAGCCTGGAATCAATTTAGATCCAAGGGCAGATCACTCCCCTTGCAGAAAACCAAAGAATACTATAAGAATACCAACTCTTTAGTATGCAGTGTAGAGATGATTCTTCTACAAGTTCAGTAAAATCAAGATTTCAATTTTATAAGGTTCTCAAAATATAAAGTTAGGATATTTTTAAACTCACAAAGTATTGCTCAAAAGGGTTATCACTCTTCATGCAGATAAATTGATTTAGTCAGGCAAGCTTTTTAAAAAGCTGTTACTTGTGCTACATATTTTTTTGTTATACCCTTATAAATAGCTTTCTATATATTTATTATCATTACTAAAAAAAGTCCAACAAAAGAAATGAATATTACATCAGTCTAACAATTTCACTATTGACCGGCCTGCCGGTGTAACGTTGATATTTGACCCGGGTTGAAAATTTACCGGGGGGTCATTTTACAACGTTGAATACTGAGACCAAAGGTGTTGAATTTAGACCTAGTCCGTTGAAAATTGAGCGGGGTCGTGGAATTTTATCCTGAAACCGGTTCTAAATTCAACAGCATAAAAACATATTTGTGACTTGGTTTTCACAACTGTGATTTAATCCATAGGCGTCGGGAATGGGGGAAGGGGGCTAGGGATGCTTAGCCCCCCCCCCTTAGAAAATTTGAAATAATTTTTTTTATTTCAAATTTTCAGTTTCATTTTCAAAAGTTTCAAAAGTCAGTGACATCAAAACGTACATTTTTTGTACATTCTAAACAAGCATTCCTCACGACAAATTCCAAACTATACATTTTTGCATCATAGACAACTGCTTTCTCAATAAAAATAGAAATCGGAAATTTTAGTATCTTTTGATAGGTTATCAACGAAAATCACTTTGTGAAAAAATCACCCTGATTCTACCTAAATTTATCCTGAAGTTGATATTAAAGATTTCCATCCCTAATAGGGCCAAATTCTCTACCCTTAAATGTCCGTCAAGTACATAATACTCTGATATTATATTAAAGCATTTAATTTATAGAGGAAAAGGATTGCCCGCGAGAAAGTTTCAAAAATTTCATGAATTAAGCAGTAGTTAATTAACATATATTGCATTGAAGTCTATGAGGAAAAGCATTTTTTTTTTCAAAATAAAAATTCAGATAATTTGAACATCAATTACTCCTGCGGTGGAAAGATGTATTGAAACATTAAAAATAGAATGACAATTGAAAGCAATTTTATTTTTTTTAACCGGCTAAATTTTTTTGAAATTATTTTTTATTAATTAAAAAAATGGGAAATAACTCCTACAAAAATTCAAGGTCATAAATTAAGAAAATCCCACTTTATATATTGATAGAAATAAATGGGAAGCATGTCTAAATAAACCGAGAATTCAATGCCTACTTATCTATAATGTATTCAATTTCATTGACTTTGTTCTTATACCTTAAAAGGAAGCTGGAGTTCCTTATCTACACCGTTTTTGCAGTCTTCGGAGACCAATTCTTTCCTCAAAACTTGGAATTTTGATGGGCACTAATTGTGCTCCTTTATTGGCCGACCTGATTTAATATTCTGTGAAGCAGAATCAGAATATATTTTTAAAAAAAAACTTTACATGACAAGAAGAAAACCCTTGCTGTGGGTTTCAACTCAACAATTAGATACACCGATGACGTATGATCAAGTAACAATAGTTACTTTAGTTCATATGTCGACTCAATATATCCCAGTGAACTTTAAATTTCAAAGTCACCACTGAATGTGCCACAACTGTTTCATGTTTGGATGTTTTACTGACTATGGAAGATGAATGCCAACTGAAACTATAATGTTTAAGAGAAGAAATAATTTCGTCTTCATCTTTTCCAAAGTTAATTTAAGTTTCCGTATTTGTAAAGTAATATTCCGCTATCACCTGTTTATGGCATGGTGGGTTAAACGTTGCATTATTATACTTTTTTGTTTTTCGAGAATGTATCACCTTTAAGTTGTAATTCTACAGTACCGACCAGACCCAACCTGACACCAAAGCAGTCCCAGAAAGCAGTCCCCAGGACTGCTTTGGGACCGCTGTGGGACTGCTGTGGGACTGCTCTGGGACCGCTATGGGACTGCTCTGCCCCTGGGACTGCTTTTTGGGACTGCTTTATTCACTCATGTATGAAAAAGGTTCTCAGTGACATGATAGCTCCGCCCCCTTGTGTATTCTGATTTGCAGGCTCCCTGTTGTTTTGTTTTCTTGCAGCAGAGATGAGTTTAATCTGTGTAATAAGCAAGGAGTTCTTACATTCTTTTAATAAGTAGAGATGCTTATAGTTAATTAATATTTTCAGGGACTGTATACTTACACAAAATAATGTGTAGTTTAGAAATTTAAAAAAAACAAGAGGCTTAGGGGCCACATCGCTCACCTGAGCAATTGAAAAAAGCACATATCAGATCAGAACTGAAAGTTTACTGAGGGCGGGGAGGGGGGGGGGGGAGGGGGCTTGAATTTTAACCCCACAGGGGGTCATGATTTGAACAAACTAGAATCTACAATACCTGAGGATGATTCCCTATGAATATCACTAAGCATGGCTTTGAAGTACTTAAAAAGAAGATTTTAAAAGGTTTCCCTATATATTCCTATTTAAAACTTTTATCAGCCATTTGGCCCCACCCTACCCCCGGGTGTCATGATTTGAAGAAACTTGAATCTACACTACCTGGGAATGATTCCACACGAGTTTCATCTTTCCTGTCTCAATGGTTCTTGAGAAGAAGATTTTTCCTATATATTCCTATGTAAAACTTTGATCGGCCATTTTGGCCCCACCCTACCCCTGGGGGTCATGATTTGAACAAACTTGAATTTACACTACCTGAGGATGATTCCAAATGAGTTTCATCTTTCCTGGCCAAGTGGTTCTTGAGGAGAAGATTTTTAAAGATTTTCCCTATATATTCCTATGTAAAACTTTGATCGGCCATTTTGGCCCCACCCTTCCCCCGGGGGGTCATGATTTGAACATATTTGAATCTACACTACCTGAGGATGATTCCACATGAGTTTCATCTTTCCTGGCCCAGTGGTTCTTGAGAAGAAGATTTTTAAAGATTTTTCCTATATATTCCTATGTAAAAATTTGATCGGCCATTTTGGCCCCATCCTACCCCCGGGGGACATGATTTGAAGAAATTTGAATCTACACTACCTGAGGATGATTCCACATGAGTTTCATCTTTCCTGGCCCAGTGGTTCTTGAGAAGAAGATTTTTAAAGATTTTTCCTATATAATGTAAAACTTTGATCGGCCATTTTGGCCCCATCCTACCCCCAGGGGTCATGATTTGAACAAACTTGAACTTACCCTACCTGAGGATGATTCCACATGAGTTTCATCTTTCCTGGCCCAGTGGTTCTTGAGAAGAAGATTTTTTAAGATTTTTCCTATATATTCCTATGTAAAACTTTGATCGGCCATTTTGGCCCGACTCTACCCCCAAGGGGTCATGATTTGAACAAATTTGAATCTACCCTATCTGAAGATGATTGCACATGAGTTTCATCTTTCCTGGCCCAGTGGTTCTTAAGTAGAAGATTTTTAAAGATTTTTCCTATATATTCCTATGTAAAACTTTGATCGGCCATTTTGGCCCCACCCTACCCCCGGGGGTCATGATTTGAACAAACTTGAATCTACACAACCTGAGGATGATTCCACGTGAGTTTCAGCTTTCCTGGCCCAGTGGTTCTTAAGAAGAAGATTTTCTAAAAATGCTATTAGTTTTTCTCTAATTCATAATTATCTCCCCTTGGAAAAGGGCGTGGCCCTTCATTTGAACAAACTTGAAATCCCCTTTACCCAAGGATACTTTGTAGCAAGTTTGGTTGAAATTGACCCAGTGGTTCTTGAGAAGAAGATGAAAATGTGAAAAGTTTACAACGACAACGACGACAACGACAGACAACGGACAAATTTTGATCAGAAAAGCTCACTTGAGCCTTTGGCTCAGGTGAGCTAAAAAGTTGTTAAATAAGGAAGTCATATCCCTAAAAATAAACTACATCTTTATGAGAAAAAAAAGCTACATGTGGGCCTTTTTTTATTATTTAATGTAAAATTATGTACTCAAAATTTGCATTTGTACTATTTAAAACTAATCATTACAGTTAGATATAAGATTTTTTCATTGAAAAAGCTACACGTTTTACAAGGACAACGCTTAAAAAAAAGAGTATTCCATGTAACCCTCAAATTAAACCTAACAATTTATTAAATGACCATGAAATCAAATTAAGCTACCATTCTTTCGTAACATAAACAATGTGAATAATCATTGGGGAATTAATTAATGAATTACCGGTAGCTTTTAATTTATAAATAAGTTATTTATTAAAAAAAACCATTTGAAAATACCGGAAATTGTGATTTATTTCTCTTTTATTTTGCTAGTGTTTACCTGGCCGATTAATGTTTATAAGATGGTATCAACACCCATGGTTTCAATCGCATTTGGGCAGAAAATCAATGCATGTTATTTGGGTATTTGTATCAGCGTTACACATCATTGAACATGCTGGTAAACAATGACCCTAATTTCAATTTATGTAATGCCAAAAAAAAAATGTGATAAATGAAATGTGATAAATGAAATTTAAACTGTTTTGGAAAATATGCATTGTAGACGCCTTTTGGAAAATCCCTTATCACATTCAATCACAGGGCCGATTATAAACCATAACGACTCTTCTTCTTTCTTTCGAGATTAATTAATTTTGAACATAATCGGAGGCTTCCATTTTGGTGATTCACAATATACACTCTAACATTTACAAATAAAACATTTAAAACTGAGTTTTATAGAACTAGAGAAATTAACAATACTTAAATTGACATGTCAGTAAAAATAACCATGACTGAAAAATAATACTTGGCAAAATTAACAAAGAATTTTTTAAAAGCTCCAATACTTAAGAAAATTCCTTTAGAGTATCCCAATGGTATGGAAATTGTCCATATAATGATAAGATCTGTTTAAAGCTTATTCTGGTGGAAAACAATTAATTCACGTTTAATTTTCTGTATAAAAATAAATATAGGAACCAGTATCAATCACAGAAGAATTATTAATATACCCGATAATTGTGATTAAATATTAATGTTCAGTGTAATTCATATCAATGTATGTTCATGTAGGTGTGAAAGCCTTCTTCCTCCAATAAATATCATAATTTCAGTTTTTATGCCATACTGTTCATAAATGACCTTCGCGTATATGTAAGGATTCCTGGCATGGTTCATTCTACCTATTCCCACTTTTTGAAAATCATGTAGAAAAAGGTAAGATTTTATGTGGGAATAGGTGGAATTTTGTGAAAACAAATAATTAACTATGTTCTTAAATTTAAATCTAGAATGTTTTCGAACAACAACTTTACTGCATTTAAACCAAATAATTATCAACTAAGAAAGATAAAATCATCGAATAGGAATGGCAAAATCAGCGAATAGGAATCGCATGTTTTCAAATATGAATGACATCGAATGGGAAACGCATGTTTTCGAAAAGAATTTTATATTATGATATAGGAATCATATTGTCATATTTCCTCCAATGGGAATAGGAATAACAACTTATCAAAAAGGAATCACATTGTATAGAATAAGAATAATCTCATTCTCAAGTTATGCTCTGAAAACGATCAATTTTTCAGCCGAGGCAGGCTACTGACAGATAAGTTTGTTACAGGAATTTCACAAACCTTCTTTAAAGTCAGCATGATCATGCTATGATCGCTATGTATATTGATCTTTTTCACAGATATAACCTATCATTGGATTCATTTTGGCCGAAATGTTTCATTCTAATTTTTGGGCTTTTAATATTGTTCATTTTTATACTGAATTTGAATTCTGCTCAATTACTAGGCACCTGATTTCCAGGATTTTACTTTATGCCCTATTTATAGTTATCTATGGATGCTATGGATTTTAGAACGTATTTTCAAAAAATAAAGTTGTCATGCTTGTGGATAACTGAAATCGTGTACTGATCAAAATGTACATGGGATGATAGGTTTATTTTTGTTATTCTTGAAAAGGGAAAAATAAAACCAAAATATAAAGATACAGTTACTGATAAATCCCGTAAAACAACTTCCCAGTTCAAAAAATGTTCAAACTCTGAGGTGGGGTCAATATTCAACATGTTGAGATCATCAGGGATAAGAAAATATTATTAAGCTGCTGAAAAATGACCCCATGTATAAATTCAACGACTTTAGGTCTCAATTTTCAACGGAGAAAAATCACCACCGGTTCAATATTCAACGTTTAATAATGAACCCCGTGTCAATTTTCAACTCGGGTTACATATTTAACGTTACACCGGTCCAACATAAGAATTGTTAAACTGCAATGTCACTGCTACGTCACGAGTAATTAATCATCGTTCAATATCAGTGACCAGAAATAGCCGAAGTTAAGAGCTGCAAGAGTTGTTGCTACTAGCAAGGAAGACGGGAAGAGTATGTTTTGTGTTAAATAATTTTCGTAATATAATAAAAATATAATTAATTTTGTTCTTTCTCATTTATCATTGGAGCTAAAACAAAATATTCAACCACAAAAAAGTTTATCTTACTCCAAGGAACTGTATTCTGATGAAGAAGGCGCTGCAATTCAATGTCATTTCCATCACTCATTGTCCCTAATAAATAGGAAAATAAAAAAAAATAAATATAGAAAAGTCTTACATTAACTATCTAAAGATAATATGCCAGAGTATCAATTAGAATACTTATTCATAATAAACAGGAACCAAATATCCATACTATGAAATAAATGCAATTTCCACTACACAAAACAGAATATTTAAATATCTAATTTTGAAATGGCCCAGTTCTGAATCTTACAGAAATAGCTCCACGTATATACTCCAAGAGGTACATGAAACAAGCTTTCCCAAGATGCAACATTTGTACATTTTTATCATATAGGGCTTGCAGGAACCTGGAAATGTGCTAATCTAAAAATTTTAAACTATAGGAACTCATCCAGAAAATGTAATTCAAATCCAGCATTTGAGGTTCAAGAGTGTCCTTTCCAAGATGTATCATCCATGTAAGTTTGGTCAGCATTGATCTTTTAGTTACCTATACTTGAAAATGAGACCTACTCCGAAAACTTTGATAGTCTGGTCACTCATCAAGATAATACAACTCGGATTCAGCTTCTGTTACAATTTAAGCCTGGTACATGTAGTGTGCATCATTATAGGAATTCATCAAGGGTATATTTACAACTTTCAGCAAGGGGAAATTTCCCCTGAATATTCCATTATTCCCTTTTGATGACTGTAACTAATTCACTTACATTAATATGCTCAAATATTTTTTTTCTTTTGGAAAATTAAAGAAAATGTTCAGATTATGTGAATATATGATTTTCATTTACTATTTTATGCTCTCTATGTATCATCAATGCACGGTCAACATAGGCTTATGTAGTTGGAAATGAGACCTGTTCCAAACATCTAAAGCTGGTCACTCATAGAGAAGGATATGGAGATAACGAACAGTATTCGATATCAAAGTCTATAAAACAATACAAAATAGGAGCAGAGCAAACAGGGACTTCCAAAACATCAGAGGTGGAATCAGGTGTCATGGAGGAGTGACACACCCACCATGTGCTTCTTGTCATGATAGGGAAATAACGGAAAAATCCGTTGTCAATTCAGTGTATAAATAACGGACTAACAATCAGTATGAACAACGTCAGTCTGCATTTGACTCAATGATAAATTGTATTTGCTGACAAGGTCATTATATCGACCATAAAACTTATGAAATGATAACTTTAAACGAGACGGCTGATATTCTTGTTTCATCAACTTGCTTGTCAATAATTTACCTCGTTTTAGAAATTGTTCATATGTAGAGCATGCTTTTGCCTATCGAATCAACTGAGATATATACACTCCGTATGCAGGTAATGAAGGTATATTGCTGCATTGGTAAGGGAAATTGACGATACAAAAGTTAATCACATTTGTCATACAGCTTGGTTGTTAGATTAGCATTGTCTTTTTCAAGTAAAATATCCAAGTATGAAACAGATGTGTCAGACTCTGTGGTATTTTTTATCTCAAGCTCACCAGGATATATCGTATCAACGTAGGAATGGAAATTACCATTGTTAATTGACAATACGTCGTCGATATATCTAAATGTCGAGTTGAAGGCCACAGCAAGTGTTTCCTTCTTTTCACGCATAAGATTTTGCGCAAATTCTGCTTCATATGAATATAAAAATAGGTCTGCTAACAACGGAGTGCAATTAGTGCCCATGGGAATTCCAATAGATTGTTGGAATACCTGTTCACCAAAAACCACATAGATATTATCAATCAGAAACTCGAGCATCTTGTTGAGGTCAACTTCAGAGTTATTGTGTGTGCAATCAGAATGTGTTTTAACAAAATGATTTTGCAAGTGACCAATGACCAGGTAAGTAAATTTACGAGTTCCATTTTTAGCTGTCAATGATATCAAAAAGCCTGTACTTTAATTTATCGTTGGGAATGGTTGAGTATAAAGTTGAAAAGTCGTAAGTTTTTAAGCTGTTTATTTTGGTAAAATCTTGTGATTTCAAATTTGTCCAAAAGATCTTTGGAATTTTTGAGTATCCACATCTGATTCACACCACTTCTTGAATATATTGTTGCACAGTACTCTTGAAGTTTTTCCTTCACTACTGTCAATATCTTAGTGAGGAGTAACGAAAGAGGCTTGGTTGAACATTTACTGGAACCCGCAATGTATCTTTGTTTGCAAGGATTTTTATGAAGTTTGGAAATCCAATACATATAGGGTAATTCAAATTCTATTTGGCTCTGTGGAATATTAAAAATATTTAAAACTGACATATGATTTTGAAGAATTTCCTCCTTAGGAAAGGAAGTATAAGTATAAGTATGATTACCACTTGTATAATTAAATCCAAGTTCCTCTAAAATACAATTTATATAATGAGCCCTAAAAATGAAGACAATGTTGTTACTTGATTTGTCGGCAGGGACCAATACGTACTGATCATGTAATCAATCTTTTTGAACACAGAAGGATAGATGGTTAACATATTGCCCCTCAATCTTTTAATACGCGACTTTAACATTGACCTGATACATTTAATCCATTCCGACAAGGTGTCAATGTTTTCTTTTTGGTATCTGGCCAATTGTATGGCGTAATTTTCAACAGAATCCATAATATTTATGAAATTCCGACGCCAGTTGAAGGATCGGGGTTCCCTCTAAATGGGACCTTTTAAAATAAGTGATCTAAGAAAATATAGGTCAGATTTAGCATCAGAAACAAGTCTGGTAGTGTATCCTTAGTTGTATCAAATCTTCAAGTTGGAAAAATACATGTATTGGGCATATAATTACTAGGAAATGAAACCTGCACCAAAAACTTAAACCTGCATGGTTACCCATCTGGAAAATATAGGATAGATCCAGCCTGAAAAGCGATTCTAGTAGTGTAAATTCTTCAGTAACAGCACTTTGCTTGATTGCGCATGAAAAGGCTTCACATAATGATTACTAGTATATTAAGGATAGATTGGATGTTTGATTTCAATGAAAGCAATGATACTTTGCAAATGAAATACAGAACCCAGCAACACCACTTTCAATACTAAGCAATCATGCTGAATGATTGTTCAAGAGAATGCAGTAAACATTAACAAGAGGCCCAGGGGCCACATTGCTCACCTGAGCAATTGGCTAGGAAAAGGCACATGTCAGATCAGAACTGAAAGTTTACTGAATTGGGGGGGGGGCGGGGGGGGGGGGGGGGGGCTTGAATTTTACCCTTTAGGGGTCATGATTTGGGCAAACTAGAATCTACACTACATGAGGATGATTCCATATAAATATCACTAAGCATGGATTTGAAGTAGAGGATTTTAAAAGGTATCTCTATATATTCCTATGTAAAACTTTGATCGGCCATTTTGGCCCAACCCTACCCCGGGGGTCATGATTTGAACAAACTTAATCTACACTACCTGAAGATAATTCCACATGAGTTTTATCTTTCCTGGCCACGTGGTTCTTGAGAAGAAGATTTTTAAAGATTTTTCCTATATATTCCTATGTATAACTTTGATCGGCCATTTTGGCCCAACCCTACCCCCTGAGGGGTCATGATTTAAAAAACTAGAATCTACACTACCTGACAATGATTCCACATGAGTTTCATCTTTCCTGACCCGGTGGTTCTTGAGAAGAAGATTTTTAAAGATTTTTCTCATATATATTCCTATGTAAAACTTTGATCGGCCATTTTGGCCCCACCCTACCCACGGGGGTCATGATATGAACAAATTTGAATCTACACTAAGTGAAGATGATTCCACATGAGTTTCATCTTTCCTGGCCCAGTGGTTCTTGACAAGAGGATTTTTCAAAAATGCCATTAATTTTTCTCTAATTCATAATTATCTCCCCTTGGAAAAGGGAATGGCCCTTAATTTGAACAAACTTGAATCCCCTTTACCCAAGGATACTTTGTAGCAAGTTTGGTTGAAATTGGCCCAGTGGTTCTTGAGAAGAAGATGAAAATGTGACAAGCTTAAAACAACGACGACGACGACAACAACGACGACAGACAACGGAAAAATGTTGATTAGAAAAGCTCACTTGAGCCTTCGGCTCAGGTGAGCTAAAAAAGAAGTCTGTGAGGCAATACTCACTAGTAATACCCCGCTCTGATGTGCATATACACTATCATGATAATATACACTAGTTCAGTTACGAGCATATGCACAGACTAATAGGAAGTTGACATTGGATTTATACAAATTTAAAATAAATCCCTCCATACGGCATGCCTCAGCAAAGAATATGCTAAAATTTCAAGCATCTGCGATGAGTAGTGGCTAAGAATACTGTGACCAAATGTTTATGTGGACAGACACACATTGTTTCTATTGTTATCCCCAAAAATTTACAACAAATAATAACTTGATAGTCATAATTATTCACTGTTAAGGGACTTAACCCACCTCTGTGGAATGGCTAAAGTTAGCCGATATTTAACCACTGGATAGCAAAGTTAACCAGTGAATAAATTTTGAGCAACAGAATTTAGCCAATGGTTAAAAGTTAACCGCTGGATAAGATAATTAACCAGCGGTTAACGCTAACCAGTGTTTTGAGCAACCCAATCCTGGTTGTAACATTAAAACTTCTCACTATTCACTCATTTGATATAAATTTACTATGGAAGCCATTTTTTTGGTTGACAACTGGACAAATGTAATGCATTGTGGGATACTAACCAGTGGTTAAATCACTTAACCACTGGTTAGCTAACCAGAGGCTAATTTTATTTTGAGCAAAAAACATTTGACCAATGGTTACATATGTAGTTACCCTGTGGATATAGAATTTAACCAATGGCTAACTTATCCAGTGGACAAATTTAACCTGTGTTTTGAGCAACCCAGTCCAGATGGACAAACACTCAAGGGTAAAACAGTATACCCCCCTCTCTTTCAGAATGGAGGTATAATAATCACATCTGGACAGTCAAAGCAAATTATAATCCTTTTAGTGATAATATTGATCGCTTTATAGTATAATAGTTTCAGAGTATAGCTTTACCTTTATCATGCCAGAAATTTTTACAAATGTATTAAAATTTACTCCATTCAGATTACTAGTAATTCGGTCAAATCACAACAAATACTGTAAATGCATTATATTTAATGTGTACAATATTTGGCGGAAAGTGATTTTTGAAAAAGTTAGCATAAGTTTGATTAAGCACATTTCTTAATGTTCTTATTAATGTATATATGTTTAGGACATTTAGCATTTACAGTAGGATACACGCTTTATCAAGGACAGAAAACAGCCAAGTGTTTCTGGTGACTACAAATGCCCCACTGGTGAACAATCATTCAGTATGACTGGCTAGTGTTATAATGTTGAATTCTGTATTTCACATGTTAAGTATCATAAATTTCTTTCAAATCAAACATCCAAAGAATTGATGAATGATATGGTAATCAATCAAATTTTTCTTCAGTTGATCAAGCAAACTGACATGCTGTTACATGTACATGTATTAGAATGATACACTGTAGTAAATAAATCATTCATGCAAGTTTATCTAGTTAAGCATATAAATGATTGATATAAATTGAATCAAACAGAATCTGTTTGAAGCATTCTTAATATTATATTCGTTTTTAATTGAAAAAACTTAAAACCAACCTTTTCTTCTCCAGCAATAACATGCAACTCCAATAATAAGCAGCAGTAAAAGAGGTATGGTGACAGCTGGAATAATAATGTGCAATTCGACTGAAAACAGTACTGTAGATTCACTGTCTGTCCTATCAGTACTGGTTTTTCCTCTGGAAAATAAACCCATTCATACATCTTATTTACAAATAACTTGAGGTGTTCAAATATTCTTAATATCTTGCACTATGAAAACAAAAGACCCAATGGCTAATTGCTAACATGTGTTATTTACCTTTCACTCATTAATAATATCATAACTTAATACAGACCATGCCATTTCGTAGCCATCCTGGTAATTAAATTTCATGATTTTACTTAGTTTATAGGACTTTATAGGTCACCTGAGTATCACGTAACAACTTTCATACTTAATTAAATACCCAAGAACAGAGAAGATTTTCAAACAAATAATGCTTTTTACGGTCTTCCGTCTTATTATTTTTCTCGACAACTAATGGATAGAATTAGATGAAATTTTCAGAAAAGATGTTTTGAAAGATAGTCTTGAAAGTTCCAAGAGATTTTTTGGAAATTCCTTTAATTTTCTGGTGCCAATTTTCAGACCATTTTCCTAATTTTACAACTTGTCCACGGATAATCTCAAGAACGGTTAAAGATATCAATGTGAAACTTTCAGAGATTATAGATGGTGATCAATACTATCAAGGACGCAATGTTTCGTTCGTCTTCAGTACTTCCGGTCGCAACCGGAAGCCAATTCAAAAACTCCCAATTTTTCAACTTTTGTTTTTCAATTTTTTTTCTTGATATTGGTTTGATTATTAGAGACTCTTTCAAGAATACTTAATATGTAATTTGTTCTTGAATCGATATAGCCAGTCTTGAGATATTTGCATTTAAAAATTTGAAGCGGCGGTTCCCAATAGCGTAATGGTTACACTGTAGCACGTTGGATTTTCACGCGGGTGACCCGGGTTCGATCCCCAGTATGTCCGAAATTTTTTTTTTAACTTTTTTTGCTGGATTTTTCATTTTTTATTTCAGAATCAGACGGAAGACCTCTCGTTGCTCGCAACGAGCTCGTATCTAGTTCACTATATAATCTAATTAGCCCCACACTAGCACCTAAGAACCCCTGATCCCGGGGCCATGAATTTCACAATTTTTGTAGAGGACTCCATGCTTACTACAACCATGCAAACAGTTTGACTGCTTGATTGTTCAGGAGTAAAGAAGATTTTTAAAGATTGCATTAAGTTTAGTGGTTTTGGCCTCACCCCTCAGGCCCCAGGGAGACAGGAGCCATGAAATTCACAAATTTGGAAGAGGCAGCATTATTCAACATAATTATGTACCGGTATTTGGTTTGTTTATTAAATACCCAGGAGCAGAGAAGAAGATTTTCAAAGAAATAATGCTTTTTCACTATATAATCTATATAGCCCCGCCCTAGCACCTAAGAACCCCTGACCCCGGGGCCATGAATTTCACAATTTTGGTAGAGGACTCAATCCTTATTACAATCATGCAAACAGTTTGACTCTTTGATGGTCAGGAGAAAAGAAGATTTTTAAAGATTGCATTAATTTTAGTGGTTTTGGCCCCACCCCTCAGGCCCCAGGGGGGCAGGGGCCATGAAATTCACAAATTTGGAAGAGGCAGAATTATACAACATAATTATGTATTTGGTTTGTTCATTAAATACCCAAGAGCAGAGAAGATTTTCAAAAGAAATAATGAATTTTCACTATATAATCTATATAGTTCCGCCCTAGCACCTAAAGATCCCCTGACCCCGGGGTCATGAATTTCACAATTTTGGTAGAGGACTCAATGCTTATTACAATCATGCAAACAGTTTGACTGCTTGATGTCCAGGAGTAAATAAGAAGATTTTTAAAGATTGCATTAAATTAAGTGGTTTTGACCCCACCCCCAGGCCCCAGGGGGGCAGGGACCATGAAATTCACAAATTTGGAAGAGGCAGAATTATACAACATAATTATATATTTGGTTTGTTTATTGAATACCCAGAAGCAGAGAAGAAAATTTTCAAAGAAATAATGCATTTTCACTATATAATCTATATAGCCCCGCCTAACACCTAAGAACCGCTGACACCAGGTCCATGAAATTCACAATTTGGAAGAGGCAGCCTTATTCAACAAAACTATGTACTTGGTTTGTTTATCTAATGCCCAGAAGCAGAGAAGAAGATTTTCAAAGAAATAATGCTTTTTCACTGTATAATCTATATAGCCCCGCCCTAGCACTAGAACCCCTGGCCCCGGGGTAATGAATTTAACAATTTTGGTAGAGGACTCAATGCTTATTACAATCATGCAAACAGTTTGACTGCTTGATGTCCAGGAGTAAAGAAGAAGATTTTTAAAGATTGTATTAATTTTAGTGGTTTTGGCCCCACCCCTCAGGCCCCAAGGGGGCAGGGACAATGAAATTCACAATTTTTGTTCCCCTTCACCCATAAATGCTTTATGCCAAATTTGGTTGAAATTGGTTCAGTTGTTGCAGAGAAGAAGCTGAAAATGTTCATATGTTAACACATGATGCACAAAGAACGACAAAAACAGATAGCAATACGTCACCTGAGTTTACTCAGGTGACCTAAAAACGCAATTAATTTTTAGCAATAATAAATTTTAGCCATCTCAGCACCCTCGCTAAAAATGCCAAAATTAAATCCTCACTAAAAATTCTACTTTTACAGTAAATTAATTTCTTGTTGTAGCCCATCTAGATCTGCTCTTGTAAAAAAGATTTTTCAGACACTTAATTTTTTGTCATAACTTATGCATTGACCATTTATTGTGGTCAATCAGAAGGCTGATTTTTTCATGAGGAGAAGGGTGGGGTGGGGGGGGGGGTTCAGGTGTTTATTTTTTTGATTTCAAAGTTGAATCTCTTTCAAGTATGACAGCTTTTCTATAATTCTTGCTTTTCAGTTTTTGTGTTCTGAAGATTTTTAAATGGGACTTTTTTTAAATTGATTATTGATTTAACTATTTATTGAAGTTAAACCTTTGACTACAATTTGCCTTTTGTTTGCACAATAACTCCTTTATTACAATAATATTTCATGCCACATTTAACAAAAAAATTATCCTTTTGATAATTAAGAAACCCAAATAAGGAATCTTAAAAGGGCAGATTACTGACCACTGAAACATACTATACACATATTGATGGTGGAAACTTTTATCAGAAAAGCACACAAATTGGTTCATCTTTGTTTAAACTCGAGGTCAATATTTGAAATGTTTAAAAGTGTCAACATATTCTTTTTACTCTATGATTATGTAATTATCAATAAGCAAAACCCATTTTTGAACTCATCAAATTGATTTTAGCAATTCAAACTTACAAAATGTCAACTGTAAACATTTGATGTGTATAAACAGTCAGGGGCATAACTTAAACAAGTCATTTTCAAAAATAACTCAAATGAGTTATTTTTTGTCTCAATTAGTTACTTCTCTTTGCTATGACCTACTTTTTCCCAGCCTTAGTAACTTAAACACGTTATTTTTCCAAAATAGCTTCAATAAATTAATAACTTGTTTAAGTTATTTTGTGTCATTCCTCCCTAACTTCACACCCCGTGCACCAAAGGATTTTGCTCATGCACCAAGACAAAAACAAATGTTTGACAAATTAAACCTTGCTCAAAGCAGCATAAGTGTTCATAGTCTTGGGAAAAATTGGGGAAATTTTTTTTATTTAATGATAAAAATTCGACATATACACCATGTTGATAAAATTACAAAATAAGGAGTAAAATGCTGTTTATCTCCACCTCCTAACTAATTTTCCATTGGAGTCGGTGCATTCCATCTAGTTTTACATAATGGAATCCCAAAATGCAATGCATATTGACAGGAAACACAAAATTTCCAAGGAATCAATGTTCAAGTAGGATATAAAAATAACTTATTTAAGTTATTTAAAAAAAAAATTATGTGTGTAAAATAACTTATTTAAGTTATTTTTTTATAACTTGCTTGAGTTATGCCCCTGACTGATAAACCTGCTGGCCCATTCCTTGCTCCAGTAACCATGATTAGAACAAATATCCATATAAATGACACATTAGACTCAATTACTTGTATTTGATTATACTCTGTTGTTCTTTAGATGAACATTTTTGATAGCTAGATTTTACCCTGTATATCCATATCTTAATTTTTTATTCCTTAACAAAAGCACCTTCAAGCCCTTAGGGATCATATGTCACAACTAAACTTTTTTATGCCCCTGTGATTGAAAATTCAGGTGTATATAGTTTTTGCCCCCATCCATCCATTTGTCTGTTTATCTGCAAAACCTTCAACCTTGCCCAGTACTTTTGACTGGTTGGGGCTATGGCTTAATTAATATTTCACAGGTGTATTTCTTGTGACAAGACCTTTCTTTACCACAAAAGTTGATCTGTTAACCTTGATGTTGGTGTTAGGGCTTTATTGATACTTCACATGTGTATTAATTGTAACAAGGCCTCTTGAAATATTTTTAACCTTCTGACCTTGACGGAACAGTTTGAGCAGCTTTGTAAAAGAACGTTAACCTGGGCCATAACTTTTGAACAGTTAGTACAAGGGCTTTCATACTTCACAGATGCATTCTCTGTAACAGGACTTTCATCGGATACCAACAATTTTGAATTTTTGCCTTGACCTTGGAGTTTGACTTGGAAATTAAAAACTTCAACACTTGCAATAAGCAGTGATATGGGGGCATCAGTGTTTCAAAAACACATCTTGTTTTTTCAAATCAGATAACATTCCTGATCTTTGACTTGATTGGCCTTACGCTTGTCATGATACAATTTAAAACAAATATGTACAATAAAAACACATAAAACCTTTGAAACAGTTAAGTTTCAATTATACATCTACATATTACAGCGCTCCATCAACCCTGATGATTATAGGCTGGCCCTGTGCAAACGGACCTCTAATTTTAATATAAAAAGTATATGAAAAAAAAACAAAAAACAGCTAAGTGCCATGGAAAGTATTAATAAACTAACTGCTATTGTAAACAATTTACATTGTGCACGAAAAAGGTGTATATCTATATATATATTTACATTGTGCTCTAATTAGCTCTATAAATAATTATAAGAGTAGTAATGGTACATAGCTTGGGACCAGAGTTCTGAACTGGTCCAGAGAGGCCGCTGCTACCACAGTGACTGAGTGTGGAAGAGAAATATATAGTCAAATGAGAGACTCTTATGATCATGATGCCCAAAATCCATATGAGATGTGCATTCTTTTTTAATATACTTAAAAAAAGATAATGAAAATAACTATGTGTCAAAAATACTTACATTATAAGAGTGTTGTTTAGACAACCAGGATCTGTAAAATTGATAAAAGGATTGATCAACATGTTTAAAATGGAAAATAAATGTCTTTGCGGCAAGTTTGGTTGAAATTGGCCCAGTGGTTCTTGAAAAGAAGATGAAAATGTGAAAAGTATATGACAATCCCAAAGACAACAATGACAGACAACACACAAATTTTAATCAGAAAAGATAACTTGAGCCTTCAGCTCAGGTGAGCTTATAAAAAATAAAGAAAAAGAACAAAAGCAGAATATTTTGGAACAGTTTTTCAATTCAAAATAAAATTCAAAAAATTTTACTTTGCAAGATTTAATCAAGTTAATGATTATGTTTGATCTTTAAAAGTAAATGTTCGACAATGTATTGAAGTTAGCTATTCTGATTGCATATAAAAAGTTTCAAAGTGAATCACATTTGACATAATCATTCACTTAGGTATTGCCCAATACACTCAAACTTTGAGATGAAACTTCAGTAAAATACCTGACAGAAATTCAGAATAAGTAAAACACAAGTATTAAAGTTCAAATCTTCTGCATTCAATAGTTCAAGGATGAGAAAAAATAGAAAACCAAGGCTCATAGGCCACATAACTACCCTGAGCTTATACTGTATATACTCGCCTATAAGTCAGTTTTTTTGGGAGTTAATCTCAGGTCCAGAGCTCTTTGTTCAACTTACAGGCAAGCTATCAAAAGAATGGTATTATATGAGGTCAGCCCCCTGATAAATAAGCTAATATATATATAACCGACTTATTGGCGGATTGATTTATGGGCAAGTATATACAGTAATAATTATGCACCCCTCTTCTGGGCCAAGGGTATATGATTAGAAAAAAAAATGAAGCTACAATAACTTTAAATGCTTCCATACTGTGGCTTTAGAACTGGTAGAAGAATTTCTTTCAAGATTTTTTACTATATGTTTGATTTTCTTTTGTGTCACTGGTCTGCTCCACTTGACATCATTGGAACTGCTTTGAATCTACACTAAATATAAAGGCTAATCAGGCTTCCATATAAATAGGACTCAATTTTTATGGCTATGCTGTTTTTAAAAAAAAATATTTTTTCAAGTATTTTTTTCAATGAACTTGTACATTATATACATAACTTTGATCAATCAATGTGGAAAAACCCAACCACTATGATTTGAACAAACTTGAATACTACCTGAGTGAGAATATTTCCAGACACATGTACATGATGTACAGGCAGGACCATAAATGCCTTAGTTGTTCTCAAAAAATAAGCGCAGCTAATCTTTCCTCTCTAAACAATTCATACAATTTTTTGTAGAAAAAACCATTAGAGCAAAATTTTAATTCAATAGTATCAACTTTATCCAACAAAAAAAATCCATATAAAAATATACTTAAATTATGTAGCCTGTTTTGTATGATTTATGTGATAAGCTGGAAATAATCAAATTCAGAAGGAAGCTGTTAAAGAGAGTTGGCATAATTTGGTTTGGTTAATCTGATTATACATGCACATTTGGAAATGTACTAATGGTGAAAACTCTATATTACTAAAAATATTTCAATGCTTTTTTCTATTTTTAATGTTTTCAATTTAGTTTAATCAAGGAACCTGAGGATGAATATTCAAGACAACAAATTGAATGTAGTACTAATTCAGGTATTTGACATGAAGATGCATTAATGTACATATGCTTCCTTTAACAAATCATGAACAAAATTATATAGAATTCATGATTGTCATAAATTAATAATACTGCATATTTTAAGACTTGCTGTTTTTATCTGAGAATTTGTACTTACACAGATAGACTTTATTAGATCTGAAATCTGTGTCTGGGCATGCTCCATACTGAAGGTCACAGGGAATGAGGTCAATGTCATTGGCAACAGTATTGAAAATTGGACAGTAATCTACATAATGAATTAAATGAAGAACTGTTAAAGCAGGACTGCAACAAAACTCTATCATAATTACTTAGTCTAGTATTATCTGTATTAATCCCCAATTACACCTATCTTTATTCTTAATATTATCTCATAATCCATATTAAATATGATAATTATTGAATGAAAGACTATACAATTATATAGTTGAACATTCATATTTTTACATGTAGTTAATATTAGCTATACTTATATAATTTCAAGTTCTATTCATAATGAGCGCAGCGAGCAGCACATAGCGCTGCTTGTCACTGCAAGCTTTTAAAGTAATGCCTGCGTGAGGAGAAAATTGTAACTTTGCAAACAGCACTGTCAACATATTAAAAAACTTATACCTGGTAATTGAAGTCTGCCACCTAGCTGTCCATAATGCAAATCTTCAAGTTCCAACAACAAAATTTCTTAATTTTTTTGCAAGCCAATGAATAATTTTATTAATTATCTAAAGTCTAAAATGCAAACTAAAATTCTTAGTGTAATACTTCCCACTTCCCTGTCTTTTCTCTTATTAGAACATACCTGCATTTCCTCTAAGACTTGCATATAACTACAATAACTATATATATGCAAGTGTTTCATAATTTGAAATATATTTTACATTATAACTTTCTATAATTTCCATTAGATGTTACACCTAGATATACATGTTGAAATAATTTAATGCTTAAAAACTTTTTGTTTTGATTCAGTCTTTTTCATCTTTGTTTATGATCGCAACTGATAAGATATGTGTACAATAACGTGATGTGTACGAGGATTGATCCATAAGTTTGTGGAATTTCTTTCTAAAATTTTATCGTGATTTGATGAAATCAATCAACAGGCATATTCATAATATACTGTCAAAATGCAACAATATTGGAAAATTTCACCACTTTCCAATCACCAATAGGGTCACACGAGCTTTCTGAAAATAGATAGTTGGGAAACCTGGAGGAGACTTCGACGTAACGTCAAGTTAGATATGTCACGTCATGTTATAGAAGCATCTCGCCCAAATGTCCAATTATAACACGTAATTCTACAAAATGCTGTCTTTTTCTCCATTTTTTTTCTCAAGAAAAGCCTGGGTATCCTCTCGCACCAAGCCACCAACTTATCTTCATTTTTTACTCATATTTCAAAATACTACCCATCTTTCCATATGATTTCCAATTTCAGTAGCAATGTCAAAATCACAATGGCAGCAGACAACGTCCATTAACGCTTTTAATTTGTCTAGGGGGATACGTACTTAAATAGAGCCTCTTAAAAGGGACCACACCTTTTATCAACATCCATGGAAGTTCCAATTTTTCTTAAATTTCTTATGCCACTGGAAAACCAGTAACTAAATGCATTTTTCCCAAGCCTATGTCAATAATATACGCGTTTAGGATCGAGTGATCCCGAGATTTTCACAAAACGTGTGACTTGACCAAAATTTGACGTTAACTAACAACTTAAAGATGAGCAATAAATCATCAACTTATAAATTAAATATCCAGTAAAATCAGTAAAACTCTCACACAAAGGTTTACAAAAGATCAAGCAATCGTAATAATGACATAATTTTCCTTTTATATACCACATAGGGCAGTTTAATTCTTATTTCACGAATTAAGAATTTAAATGATAATAAACGCATTAATGTCTCCCCCGCATTTCCAAACAACCGTTTCTATGGCAACTGCCATAAAGTTACTATCAAAGATTTTTAAAATGTTTTGAAATTTAAAATATTCCACAAGTGTCTATATTTTCATTTGTAATTTTCCACTAATTCCACTGAAAAAATAAATAAAATATGAAGAAATTCCATGAACTTTTGGATCAAACCCTCGTATAAGTTATTAGTAGTGTTGTCAAACTGGTTGAAAATCAGAATTGATTAATCAGCAGCATCTCTGTTGATTCTAACCCACTGATCATCAGCCAATAATCGAATAGCTAACCATTTGTATAAAATAGTCATGAGACTAGTCAAAAGATGTAGAATTTAATTTTATAATAATGTAAGATAAGGTGCATTGTACAGATTAAAATTTTAAATACAGTATGCAGCTTGATTAGCAATTTCAGTATATACAGATTTTTGCATGATTAGGAATTACTTGACCTGGGAAAAAAATAAGCATTGACAGATCAGGTTTCAATTAACATGATCATCTAAAATATATATGGAATTAATTTTCTAACTGTTATAAGACATTTAATATTGCAAATCCATGTGATTCCGTATGAAATGACAAGTGAATTCTCCCAAATACTGAGAACTAATATAATTATTTATTTATACAAGTAGTTTAGTTTCTTCAGTTTAGAAATACAAATATCATTATCTTAAAATTTATTTTAAACCAGATTTTAAAAGTTAATGTTAAAATGGTAAATGACAACACTTGGATGATATATATTTTGATAACAAGAGCTTTTTCTTGAAATAAAAGTGAGAAAACTATAAAAGATATGCGCTGTAGTACACCGAATATAACTGACTGTTAAAATCTCCAATGGATTGTCTACAATCGACAGCTTTTCCGATCGATTATAATTTGATCATAGTGACAACACTAGTGTATATGTACATATGATATAGAGTTCTTACTTTTTGATGCCCAGTTTGGTTTGACACAGATTTCCCCTGGCTCGTTGTACTGGTTTGGCATACAGTGATAAAACTCCGGATCTTGACAATTTTGCTTATTCTTCATTGTCTCCCAGTCATTGCTATTGAAGGGACACAACTCCCCAGGTTGTAATTTGTTAAATTGGTTTTCAGTCATTTTTAGGGGAATATCCTTTGAAAACAGAAGAGCAGTAAAATTATATAACCATGTTTTGCATGTAAGTGTTTTCTTATATATCGATCATCATGCAAGTACTTTCTGAGTATGTGCAGTCAATTAAAGGTTGATTTACACAGTAGCAAGTAAAAAAAAAATAATGTATTAAAATTAACTCAGCTGAATAAATCTTTTTTACTTACTAAAACTTTCCAGATAAATTTTAAGAATGCAATCATCATGGTTATATAATTTAATTTTTTCCCCAAATGATTGAAAGACTGATTTTAAAATGTGGGTGAAAATATTGCTAATCTAATGTCTAAATGTGTTAAGAAGTTGTGAAGTTCAAGATGCACCTTATACAATGTACATGTAATGAGGTTTCCTTCAGTCAGACAGTAGTAAAATCTTTGGCAAGATTTGATTGCTGAGAAAAATAAGCAAATAAATTCAAATGGGCTATTTTAAAACAGGTAGACATCATGTGGTAGATGTATCCCCACATATTTATGCACATATAATATTTTGTTCTTTAAAAATTTATATAGACTAATATTCATCGGCCTAATCATCTTACCTGCTTACCGGTCTACAATGATTGACATGCAGTTGACCTACAAAATTGATCTAATAATAATGACGAAACACAATCATTACACATCACCTTGGCAAAAAAACTCCTTTTAAACTTTCAAATTCATAAATATGATTTTATTGTTTTATTAAAATCATAACCTATTAAACTATTACTGACTACCTACCAGTGCTGCATCATAGGTATTCCCATGTGTAACACCCGAAACCGAAAGTGTGGATTTCCTACTGCGACTGTACGAGTACTCCCCCTTGACTATAGGTTATACTATAGTCTCGTTCAACCAGAAGTTCGGCTGACCAGGCCAGGCCAGAGGGGGGCGTTTTACAAAAGACTAAACGATTAAGACAAAAATTTTGTTTTGCTTATAACTTAAGTTTATAATTTACATTTAACTGAAAATGGTGCAAATCTTTTTTTAGCCCCAAAAATAGACAAGGAAAACTACGGAAGCGTATTAGGGCCGCAGCAATATCTTTATTAATTTGTTTTAACAAATTAGTATTTATTTAAACAAATTAATAATTTGTTTTAACAAATTATTAAATTGTTATAACAAATTAATAATTTGATATAACAAATTAATAATCTGATGTAACAAATTAATAATTTGTAATAGCAAATTAATAATTTATTAAATTATTAATTTGTTATAACAGATTAATAATTTGTTATAACAAATTAGTAATTTGTTGTAACAAATGGCTATTTTTGGACATTTTACATGTACACAGAAGTTGACAGAACTATGGAATCTATATCAGATTAGAAATCTTTAAAATATTGAATTTGTGAAACAATAAGCACACGGTCTGCAAAGCTGTATGTTTCTTCTAGCAGCTCAGAGTTTTCACTTCAAACATCAATGTCATGATAAATTGCATCAATGTCCTAGATTCTATTCCTTATAGCTTGTTCTTAGAAGCTTTACTGAAACTTTGTCCGTACGTGCCCCCCCCCCCCCCCCCCCCCCCCACTTTCCGACTCTGTACAGTCATATCACCCAATGCGTATGCTAGGAAAAATATCTTATTTGAGGCATGCAACAGAATGTTACAATATAAATTGTTTTATTTGTGTTTTGTTTTTGCTCATTTTAACTCTCTCTCTCTTCTATCTTTATATGTGACATGATCTACTTTGAATAATGCTTTTCGCCAGGCATTTATGTCTACTGTTCAACCCAACTCATGTATAAAGAATAAAATCTTTAAACCAAACCCAATTCCATATATGCAAAATCCTGGATCTGCTCCCGTGGTGAACCTCCATGGTTTCGTATAAAGCTGTGAGCAACAGAGGCAACATTAACTAAAATGAATTTGCAGATAAATTATCAAGAAAAAGATACATTCCGTATCAACTTCCCTGGAAAACGAACGAAAAAATAAAACCCACAATATTCTTGAGTGGGTAGCTCTTAGCTGTGTGGCAACGCACTTTGACAAAATTACACACTTTGAAAAAAATTTTCAAAGTGCGTTAAAATTGGGACAAAATCAACGCACTTTGAAAAAAATTTTCAAAGTGCGTTAAATCTTGGACCAACTCAACGCACTTCGAAAATTTTTTTCAAAGTGCGTTAAGAGTCTACATCAATATATTTTACTATGGAGACACTTAACGCACTTTGAAAAAAAAAATCATATTTTAGTCATGGAAAGATTTAATTTGTTTTCAAAAAACTAAGCCTAACCCTAACCTCAAAAATGAATTGATTTACTCCCGTCGAAAAGAGGAGAAGACGGGTATAAGATCCTTCAGTCCAAATCTTTATCTTTCCAATACATAGGTGTCGGAAACAAACGGGGGAGGGGAGCAATAAACCTAAAAAGGGTACGCTGCATTTTCAGTGCTTATACGATGAATATATCTTTCCAAAATAAGTGGGGGGATTAGCCCCCCATCCCCTCCCCTGGCCCTTCGCCCAGTCTCGATGCCTATGCTATACTCAAAGCATTCATATAATTATGTATTTAACAGGTATGGCGTTGAAAACTTTCAGTAATAAATGAGTTAATTAAACAGATGAAAACTAGAAATTTGTAAGTACAATAAAACGTATGAGAGAGAAAGAATTTTCATAGTTTTGAACAATCAAATTGGCCCCTTTTTATTATGATAAATGCTAAGTTGCTTGAAGCTGTCCTCTGTTAGTGCCCCCTATACACCTTTACAACTACTTATCAAAGACTCGTAGAATTAAAAGAAAAAAAAGAAACGAATTAATGAACTTAAACAATCGTCACTCTTTATTTCAAGACTCTTTAATTTTCCCTAATATTTTATCAAAACCTTAAATATTTAAAACGTCAATATCTCAGGTCCTACAGTGATTTTATCATCAAAAAAGTTATCAAACCAGGATCTGTTATTTATCATACCGATTATTTGAAGGAATATTGATCAATCTTTACATTTTTTTCAAAGTGCGTTAATATGGTCGATATTAAAGCACTTTGAAAAAAAATTATTTTTTTCATAGTGCGTTAACTTGGTCCCAAATTTTAACGCACTTTGAAAATTTTTTTTCAAAGTGCGTTGTAACATAGATGCAATAATGTAGCCTTCTCCGATTTTTATATCTGACATTTTCTGGAGCCTCTCCCCCCCCCCCCCCCAAAAAAAAAAGGAGAGGGCTACATTATTGCAGCTAGGTAGCTCTTGGTGAAATTTAATATTAAATGAATTGAAATTCATAATGTGTCATTCAATTCTTTTGTATGCATGAAACTTTTATAATAATAATAAAAAAGAGCCTGCTGGAAAAGCTCTCAAAAGTCCCACTAAAGCCTTATTATTGGCCAAAAACTTTGACAGTTGCAAATTATTTTCATAAATCCGACATATACTAAGATTTTTTTATTTGATCTGGCTTTTGTAGATTGTATACATTTCAAATTTTGTCTAAAATAGTCATTTGTTTTATCAAATTATTAATTTTTTTTTTTATCAAATTAATAATTTGTTTTAACAAATTAATAATCTGTTATATCAAATTAATAATCTGTTATAACAAATTAGTAATTTATAATAACAAATGACTAATTTGATTAAACAAATTACTAATTTGTTTAAACAAATTAGTAATTTGTTTAAGCAACTTAAATTAATTATTAACAGTTTGTTTTAACAAATTACTAATTTGTTTTAACAAATTACTAATTTGTTTCATTTTAACAAATTACTAATTTGTTTTAACAAATTACTAATTTGTTTAAACAAATTACTAATTTGTTTAAACAAATTACTAATTTGTTAAAAAAAATTTTAAAAATGCTGTGGCCTTAATACGCCCCCGTAGTAAACAGTTTAATTTCTTTTTGCTAAATTAAATTTCTTTCTAATCATACCCAAAAGTACCATTTTATGATCATGCATTTCAAGTTTCATGATATCAAATTTAATAAGAAAATAATGAAAAAACTAGATAAGATCTCGTTGCGAGCAACGAGTAGGTCTTTCGATTAGAAGAGATATGATTTTGACTATGATCTTTGTTAAAACATGATATCAAGACTTCCCTTATTTGATTTAATTTGTTTAATTTACATATCATCAAATAGATATAGAATTCCTTCTTTTGGAGGGTCAGCCCATTTTTCTTTATATCAAATGATAAGGCTCTCCCATCGGAGTTATAAAGAGTCAAAGATTTAGTATTTTGGCCCCTTGTGGCCCCTAATTATGTAACGTGATCACAATTTTACAATATATTGTTGCAGATTGTAAAGATAAAAAAATTTCCTTCAGTAATTTATAAATACCAGAGATTGATAGTGAAAGAGTTAAAGATGAAAGTCTTTTGGTTCCCCTAGGCCCTTTATTTGAAGGGTCAGCCAATTTTTATTTCATATCAAATGATAAGGCTTATGATTGTAAAGATTTTTTGTTCAACAACTATTCAGAAATTTCTTTTGGTTTTCGAGTTATACAGAAAAGAATAATCTAGGGACCAGCCCTTCAAGTCCTTAATGGGACCTTTTTGCAAAAATTAAATGGTTGTCTATTGTTTAGAATGCATTTCCGAACATCTTTTATTCAATACTGCTTATCAAAATATTTCTCACTATGGAGGTATAAAGAATCAAAGAAATAGCATTTTGGCCCCTTGTGCCCCTAATTAAGTAACATATGATCACAATTTTACAATATGATGTTGCAGATAGTAATGATATACATTTTAGCTTTAGTGATTTATAACAAAACATTGATAGTGAAAGAGTTATAGATGAAAGACTTTTGGTCCCTCTAGGCCCCTTATTTGCAGGGACAGCCCCTTTTTCCTCATATCAAATTATAAAGCTTGTGATTGTAAAGATTTTTTGTTCAACAACTATTCAGAAATTTTTTTTCGTTTTCGAGCTATATAGAATAGAAATATTTAGGGACCAGCCTTTTAAGTCCTTATTGGGGTCGTTTTGCAAAAATTGAATGGTTGTATATGGTTAACAATACGATTCTGAACGTCTTTTATTCAATACTTCTTATCAAAATGTTTTTCCCTTTGGAGATATGAAGAATCAAAGATTTAGCATTTTGGCCCCTTATGGCCCCTAATTACATGTACGTATTATATGAACATAATTTTACATTATATTGTTGAAGATTGTATAGATAAACATTTTTGCTTCAGTAATTTATAAAAAAAAAACATTGATAGTGAACGAGTTATAGATAAAAGTCTATTGGCCCCACTAGGCCCCTAATTAGAGAAGGCAGCCCCTTTTTTGTTCCCCGCTTGAAAAGTGGAGGATATTAATTTGGGTTTGTCCGTCCGTCCGTCCGTCTTCCTGTCTGTCTGTAACGCTTTCGTTTCCACACGATATCTCAAGAACCCTTTGAGCTTTTGCAATGAAATTTAGCATAGCAACTCCCTATGGACTAAAGAAGAATCCTATTGATTTTGAGGTCAAAAGGTCAAAGGTCAAGGTCATAAATAAGCAAATTCTGTTATAATACTTTCGTTTCCACACGATATCTCTAGAACAATTTAGCTATTGCAATGACATTTTACTTAACAACTCCCTGTGGCCTAATAAAGACCCTTATTGATTCTGAGGTCAAAAGGTCAAAGTTCAAGGTCGTAAATTTACACATTCTGTCTGTGTGTAACACTATCATTTCCGGGCGATATTTCAAGAAGATTTTGAGCTTATTCAATGTAATTTTATACCAAAACTCCCTAGGACCTCTCTCACCCCTCTCAAAGTGCCCCGCCCCGTTTGTTTTATTAGTATTTATAGTATTACATGTCGCTATTTTTAGCACAGGGGCATGAGGAGAGTTATTGCGTATAAAACAGGTTCTCGGCGGACTTTATGTTCTTATTACATCTATTAGAACTGTTTAATAAAGGCTAAATAAATCAAACACCATGGATTGTGTAAAATTTTGACAATACCGAACATGAATATATACATGTATGTGACTTCACTTCTGCATATACTTGACTCCAAGTAAAGCGATTCCGTGGTCTAATGGCATGTTTCTCGCTTCCAATTTGAGAGGTCCCGAGTTCAAGTCCCGGACGGACAACTTTTTTTTTTTTGAAATACTTTTTTTTTTTTTACTAAATAATAGTATTCAGCACGCGAAATGAAATAAGGTCTGGCTTGTACAAACTCATAAAATCATCATTACAGTGTGATAAATATTCCATATAAAAAGAATCTTCTATACGCATAATAAAGAATAAGCAATTAAATCTTTATATCCATAATGGTATATTTTATTTGCTTCAGTATACATGCATGTATACATTTAATAATTCTACAAATTCAGTGAGGGGGATCCAACTCCCCCCCCCCCCCCCTCTCCCTGCCCCCGAACTGCGCATGTTTTACTTTTTCCTTAAGCGGGGGACACAAATTCTCTGAATTAGCTTGTTTCCATATCAAATGAGAGATCTCACATTTTTAAATAACTTTTCTTCTGTATGTCTTACCAAAATGTTTACAGATAAGAAGATATAATAGATAAGTTGTTAAATTTTGTGAGATATTTTTGAGTCATTCTTTAAACCCAGGCTAGCTTCGATGCCTTTTGGGCTGAAAAGATATAGCTCAAAATGGCACTTCTATAATCTATCCTCTATCTACACTGAAAATCTCAACTCCATATCTCAAGTCGTTTAGGTGGAGTTACCCGGACAAGCAGACCCTCTGAAAATCATCAGAAAATCGTCCATGTCTCACGACCGGAAGTGACGATCTTAATACAAAAAAATTCCGATAAGGTTCAGACCAATATCAATTAGATCTGAAAGTTTCATGAAAATCCATTGAGCCGTTTCCGAGAACTCGCGTGCAAAAAATCGGTAAGAATATAGAAAAATAATAATAAGACGAGGGAAAAAGAAACAGAACGAAAACAATAAGGTCTTCCGTTGGAAACGGAAGACCTTAATAAAGAAAGGCTATTGCTTTTGTGCGCCGATGTGCATGTAAAGTTAAAGCATGCAAGGGTACATCGGCGCACAAAAGCAAGCGTAATTTACGGCTCTTATATAACATCATGATCTCATTTTCTGCTACACACGCGTCTGTTAACAGCCCAATATTTTTTTAAAAAGTGAAAAAACAACTCTCGATGAAGGGTATTATTTAAATTCACTACTGTCATTTTTTTCCTTTTTCTTTTTTCTAAGAAGATTCAAATTTTAGTCGACATTTTGTCGAAAGATCACCTTACATTGTTAGCCTGGTTCCGGTCGGCCTACCGATGATGCTCCGCACAGTGGGTAGGCCGGAACTATTCCAGAGTGTAACCGAGAAAACACTTTTGATATGAATATTTGACATCCAAAAATCCCCTTATTAATTCAGGTATGTATTGGGACACTTTTGTTTCATAAAATATGGAATTTTTACCCCATTCTCGAAGTTCTATAAAAATTTTATTTTACATGGAGTGTCAAACAAATAAGGCCTTGAAAATGACTTTAAAAAGGGGGAAGGGTTTCCTTTTTCAACATTCTATAAAGTTTTGTCCCTGAAAAAAATGGTATAGACGTAGGAAATGTTTAAACAGCATGGCTACCGAGAAATAATATGCATCCGATAACACAGGCACCTGACGTTACTTATTTTTCTTTTAATAAAAAAATATACCCTTTACCGGTTTATTATAAGGTAAGGGTATATTTTTTATTAAAAGAAAAATAAGTAACGCCAGGTGCCTGTGAAATAAGTGTATGAGGTGAAAGAAGTATACAATGAAAAACAATGACGTTGTCGGACGTCATGAAACTAAATGGCGACGGCGCCAGGTGAGCTTATAATGTCATTTTTATTTTATAATAATTTGGCAAATAATGAACGTATCAAGCTAGTAAAACTTTCAACTTTTCTTTATTATTTGTTGTTTTATGTTCCTTATAAATTTTGAAAGCACAGACTACATAGTACTAATTTTATAGCCTCAGTTCACGAACTTTTTGATAACCCGGTGTGCGTCATACAACGCAATGTTACAACTTCAAACTTGACATTTTCACCTTTGTTGTATGATAAGCTAATCACTTTTAATCTTCATATTAAATATAATCCTGGCAATAAATAAAATAGTTTGGATAATAGTTTTGGAATAAAATATAACGAAAAAAAAAATCCAAGATAAAAATTATTTTTTTCTCTCTTTATTCTTCCAACATAAAAAAAGTCACCCACACATCTTGTTTTTTTAATACAATTTTTAAACTGAATATTGTATAATTTTCATGTCCATATGAAACAGACTTTACGTGGAGGCACGCCCCCCCCTTCCCCCAATAACTTTGCCAATATGAAGACTGAACACTTAAACAGAAATATAGATACCATTTCGCATACACTTGTGCCCCCTCAATAGTGATGTTTGATGATTTATTTTGCTTATATTGCTTGTCCAGGAATTTTTGGTAGTAGATAGAGTGATAGTGCCGCCAACTGAAAATGTATGGCTGTGCTCCGAACCCAACCCACCCCAAATAATTTTGGATACCCCCCGGTATTACACAAATTTATTTAGACTACAAGTTTTATATGTAACAAAATGTGAATAAGTAATAGCTTAAACAGTTAGAGCCGATATTACAAAAGCAGCGGATTTTATGTTGTACGCTGTAAGACTCGGTTTCATTTTGTCCAATTCATCCTTTATCAGATTTCAAAATGCACTTCAACCGGTTTTTAAAGTACTTAAATGTAAGTTCTTGTGGATTTTTGTTGTATTATTCTATTTCTTTTCTCCGTTTTCTTCCGCAACAGCATCTTCTGCTGTGTTTGGCTTGTCACATTTAGATACACATGGCGCTTTATTCCATTTATTATTAAAAGTTTCATGTTTCCGAAAAATATGACAATCCCAAAGTGGAATATCGTGCCCTTGTCTTATTTCTGCTCGGATTCTGTCTACTAATTTATCTGTTGCATTCAATTCAACACTTTCTATGGTATTTCCAAGTTTCTCAGCAAAGAAATCTGCAATATTCTTGTCTGATAGTTTACACCGCTGTAGTATATAATCTATATTTGCATTTTCAATTAAGAATGCTTCATCTGAGCATGCGTAAACAAGAAAAAAGTCTAGAAGAGATTCATGATGGAACACATAGGTCTGAGAAGAATCTGAGACTGAGTAAAGAAATCCACGTACTCGGACATTTCTTTTCATAAAATATTCGATTTCAGCTCGATCACATGATTCGGCCTTATACTTTTTGCACACATTTACATAAATCTTTCCTTTGGTATCGCTGTGGAAATCGTCTATGGACACCACTCCACTACACAAACCAGCGAAGAGGACCACACAGAAACTTTTCTTGTCTTCATCCTTTTCTGATTTTATCCAGTTTTCTACATGCATTTTTAAAGTTTTTCTAAATGTCTTGGACATTACGTAATCATATTTTCTCAACATGTACCTGTTAACGCACATTAAGTCAATTATAACAGGGACAAAGAATGTAAAGTCCTCTTTTAAATCATGGGACATTTTCTGTATCCTGTCTTTATGAATTGTTATCGCAGTTCTGCTGTTTAATTCCGTAACTCCGTCTTGATTAATAAAAGTTTCTATGTCTTGCTTTAACCTTTCCTCTTTCTTACTGGTCGTTATTTCAATGTGATTTATTCTAAGATGATTTCTTAACATAGACTCCTTCTCTTTTGTAGTCAGTGGTTTCTCTTTCATATTCAATGGCGTGTATGATTTAAAGATGTCCAAAAACAAAGCGTCCTTACAAAGAAAATTCCATGTATCTTCCTTGATGGTGAAAATTACGTGAACTGGTCCTTTATCTACGAACTCCCGAAAGATGTTGTCAAACGAAGCTTTGTCTACTGATAATTTTGATGGATAATATCTATATTGCTCAAAGAAGTCGTCCAGAATTACGTATGGCTCTGATTTGTCATTACTTAGTCCAGGAATCTCATCGAGGGTTTTGCAGAAGTGAAAAGTGCATTTCCTTCCTTGAGTTGACCCTGAACAACCAAGTTTTCTTTTAGCCAGTTGAATAGCAGTCATTGTTTTACCAGAGCCAGGTGGCCCTGTAAGTGTTATCCATCCCCGTGTTTCTAACATTCCTATGGCCTTTGTATACGTCTCAGTAATGACGAATACATCAGCATTCAAGTAATTTATAGTTCTGAAAAATTCTGAAAATTAAGAGTAGAATCCTTTTCATTAAAAAGGTTTTATCTTTCCCTTAAAATAACAATACTGATTTAAATTTTCCTATAATAAAACATTCGCTAACATCGTATTAATATTTATCAGACCTAAATTACTATACAAAAACTTTTTGCTGAAAATAATCAACACATACATGTATGTTATTTTAAAACTATTCTTTAATAAAATCAACATGTTTTTGTTATTTGTACTTACCAACAGGAAATGTTTTTATATCTAGAAGAGGTTGCATTTCTCCACACAATATTGATTTGTTAGTACCTTAAATGAAATTAAACGTAGATATTTATACAACTGCATCTTTTTTTTTTTTTTTTTTTTTAAAAAGATGAACTCATGTCTTCTTTTTATGTAAACATTTTAAAATTTCCTAAAAAATCTATTTCTAAAGGAACATATTAATCTCCCTTTGGGAATTCTTTAATAATGAGCTTTGCTCCATACATGAGCTTTGGCATCTCATTGTATTATACAAATACTGATCTGGCAGAGATTTTCACACATGAGACCATTTTGCATACATGTATCCCTTTTTATGAGATTTTGGTTCACCACTTTTTTAATAATCTTAGCATACATTTGTGCCAAGTATGATCTTCAAAGTTACATGTAAAATAGGGTTAAAATAAATTTTCAAATTCAGTCATTTAAATGATATCAATCTGACCATTGTTTTGGGTAATAAGACATCCCGTTGTCTTGATTTACAAAAGTGCCAAGTGGGAGCACTCACATATTGTTTACTATGAACATTGATAAATACAGATGAACAGAAAGATAGAATTAAAACACTGCAACCCACGATCATCATTCTAGGGGACATAAAACATTCATCTATGAAACATTCAGCAAATGATGCTAACAAAGTAACTTGAACAAAAGTAGGATAAGGTATATATACAGTGTTCGAATAAATATCGTTTTAAAAATCATTTCTAGTTGTATCTACCTTTCTTCTTGTTTCTTTTTATAAACCAGATGATTCCTATGGTCAGCAAGAGCACGACAATGACTACAGGTATGATGATCATAGGTAAGGAAACCTTTATTGGTGGACCAACTGTACTCGACGTAATTTTACTGAAATATTTAGCATTCAGCAATAATTTCTTTACTTTTCACAATAAACGGTAAAATCTTTGAGAAGGCTTCAAATATATTATATTGCATTGTTTTCTTTATATCTTGAAGAATTTAAAAAAATATATATATGTACAGTAACCATTATGCTTTTTAAGACACTTATTTGTAAGAATGGACGAATTTCCTTTCATTTGACCAAGTTTTACCTAGGTTATGGTGTCATGATATAAAACTAACCTGACCGAAGTTTTGTTCAAACATCCTGGATCTGGAAACAAAACAATTATAATTCTAAATATTCAGAACAAACGATAAATAAACCAAAAATGAGGTTATTTAAATATTTTGATCATCATGCTTTAGCAAGGTGGTCAAGGTATTAAATGGCAAACAAATTGAAAAGGGATAAATTCTATAAGAAAATACACAATGAAGAGAGTTAAATTCAATGGGAGAAAAAATAAAAAAGATACTTTTACTTTGATAAATATAGATTATTTCACCAGATATTTATCAAGAAAAAATAAAATTAACACATTCATATATCTCGAACCGTGAAAGAAGCAGGAATGGAAAATTTCCCCTGGCTAAAAATGATAGAAAAGGGATTATTTTAGTTTATTTATTATAATAACATTCCATTAAGTTACAAGTAAATGTAGATGAAAATACTTTGCAAGAAGGATTAAAGGGATCGAGTTTCTGATTACCATATGTTTAGGAATACGTTCACAAAGACTCTTTTTACTTTTTGATTCTTTATAAAAGAGAGCGGGGGAAAACGTGTAATCTGTATCAATAAAATAAAAAATAAAAATACAGGGGAAAAGATAAAATTTTATGATAGACCGAGATCAATGTGTTTGATACTTATGTTCAAAGTTTCCTATGCTACGCTGTTGAATTATGGTATTTATAAAAAGGTGAAAACAATAGAAATGCAAATATCGGTATTATTGTATGTAATGAAACACCCAATAAAACATAATGCTGTTAATAGTTATTATATGAAATAAGAAATATTAGAAAGCACATATGTATCGAACAAATAGTATTTTTATATTGAGAATATGTTTTCAAGAAATTAAGAACAAAAGACAATGATCATAAAGCTGCATTCTGGGATTGGATGGTATGGTTAGTATAGTTTGGTTAGTATCCTAATAATCAAAAAGCCAGTAGTATTTCTGATATAATGCATATATGAAACAGAATATGGGATATTTTAAACAAGAAGTTATTTGAAGTATATATTAAGTCATTAATTTTTTGATTGAAGAAATACTTAAAGAAACCAATGGCAAATGGCATCTTCCAAATACTAGTACAGCCTACTCCGGATATATTGAAATTCAGGGGACCATGCAAATCATTTCAATATATCCGTAATTCAATATTGAATATAAGCGAAATCGTGAAGCCGCCATTTTCACAAGTTCAATCCCGATCTAAAATAAAGAAGAACAAACCCGAACAAATTGATTTGTCATCGTTTGTCTACAACAGTGAGCACATTACATAGAGTATGAGTCCTTGAAAGTTTTATTTTTTTTATTTCTGTTTTATTGAAAAGACAAACTTCAACCCCGTTATTATTCCCCGATCGCATTTATTTACGTTTTGGAAAAAAAATCACCGGCTGAGTACTGCTGAACGCTGTTTGTATTTCATCGTAAGTGTACTCGGGTTAATCAATCCCTTAGTTATTTCGAATTTAGGCATATCAATAGCCATTAATAGTACGTATTTAATTTCAAAGTTATGTTTTTTTCCCTAGATCTGTGGGGGTTACTATATTACGTTTAGATGTTTAGTCTCGATATGTCCGTATCATATACGTGGACGCAAAGAATTTAACAGTGAAGAGAGCATATGCAGTATAAAAACACATAAGGTGAAAACTTAATTATTCACACCTTTGTATATCAACTGGTCAATCAGGCATGATTACTGTCACCAACCGTAACGTACGACAGCCGCTAGGGAGTACTTCAATATAACCGTTATGAAAACAACTCATTATCACCTGTGGGGACCGACCAGTGGCTTCAATATAAGGGAAATTTCAATATATCCGATTTCAATATAACCGTTATTTTAACGCAAAGAATATGAGAGGCAAAAACTGGGGATTTATTTCTATTTCAAAATAAGCGGAATTTCAAAATAAGCGAGTTCAATATAAGTGGAGTAAGCTGTATATGAATTTCTTTAAAAAGAGATAGAGAAAAATCATTTTATTCAAACATTCAAACATTCATTCGAAATGTTTACTAATTTAATTTCTAAAATTGAAATTTATTAAATGAATATTTTCAAGTGGTACATTCAGCATATGTTTACATCAGATGACTTGACAGATTACTTCCCCCATGCACAATAATGCACAATAAATTGATTGAGACAGAAAAATTTACACAATCGACTAAAGTGTGACTCATCGAAATTTACACGGTGCATGTGACTTATGACTTGTATGATAAATTTACAGACACACCTCTTTGAATTGTAATCACTTGATAATAGTACTTACATAGATAGACTTTATTAGACCTGTAATCTGTCTCTGAGCATGCTCCATATTGAAGGTCACAGGGAATGAGGTCAATGTCACTGGCAGCCGTATTGAAAATGGGACAGTAATCTAGATGATGAATATTAGCATCCTTTAGAGAAAATTCAGTTTGGCAGATATATATAATTGATACAAAACATTACACAAAATGTCAGAGTCATCACTGAATGTAGTTTTATTGAAGTAGGCCTAACTAAATTTTTGAAATGCTTTATCTGATTACACTTAACCATCATAATAGAAACAGTTGAACTTAAAAAATTCTGCCATTTTAATTTCGTGTAATAGTTAGGGCAGTGGATATCGGCCTGGATAGCTCAGTTGGTAGAGCACCTGACTAGAGATACAGGGGTCCTGGGTTCGATTCCCGGTCCAGCCATACATTTTCTCCTTTCCTGTTACAGATTTGGTGCCGTTGACCACCCCTGGAATTGCAGGTGAAAGTCCTACCAGGGGCAATAAGAACTTGTGTTGTGTCTTCGAGGGCGAAAACCATTTAAAGAGGGAGGAATGTAATGGTTAGGGCCGTGGATATTTGCCTGGATAGCTCAGTTGGTAGAGCACCTGACTAGAGATACAGGGGTCCCGAGTTCGATTCCCGGTCCAGCCATACATTTTCTCCTGTCCTGTTATATTCGTATCACAATGTATAGGGATGTTTTAGAAGTGAAAACTTTATACAAAACCATATGATCAACTCTATTTCCTTAAGATGGCAAGTTCACAATAAAATTCTTTTCTTTAATAGCGCTATCTTAGATGTCACATAGAGGAACATACTAGTATATATGTCATTAAACCTTTATTTAATAGTATTCTAGAATATGTTAATGCACTTAGCCTACAAAGATGCTTCTATAGTCTCTCGTAAACAACCTACATGTACATTTAATTTTTGGATACTTACACTTCCCACGTAAATAATGAATATATAGATTGAGTATATACAAAGTTATATAGCACCATAAATAAAAAAAAGTTTACTTTTTGACGCCCAGTTTGGTTTGACACAGATCTCCCCCGGTATGTTGTACTGATTTGGCATACAGTGATAAAACTCCGGATCTGGACAATTCCACTTTTTCATCATTGTCTCCCAGTCATTACTATTGAAGGGACACAGCTTCCCAGGTTGTAATGGGTTGAACTGGTCTTTAGCCATTTGTAGAAACTCAACCTTATATTGTACAGATTTAAAATGAAAAGATTAAGGATCACATGATTTCCTTCTTAAATGTCCTTGATACTGTCATTATATTTAAATCTTTCTCATATGACCAAATGTATGTACATATAAACTTAGATGTGTGTATGAAAATGTAGTTATATAGGAATCTATATATTAAGAGCTGTTCTGTATTCATGATCATACAGCAATCACCAGAATTAAAATATTCTGATAAATTTATTCACCACTAACTTTACACAGTGTTTTAAAAAAATATTTTTGATATACCTCTGGGTATTTAGTAACCAAAGGAAGCATGCTTAGTGTATACATTGTAGTTATGATAAACAATGGTGCCTCTTTCAAAGTTGTGAATTTCATAGCTTTTAGTTTAAAGCACGGACCAAATTCAATTGTTTGAAAGTTGTTACATGATACTCAGATGTCCTTTAAGACCTGTAGGCCTCTTTTTGTACAAAAATGCTACTGCAGTTACGTATAATGTATTTTTATTTTATTTTTCCTTGCAATTTTGTGTCTTATTTTGAAACATTATTGCAACATATGGTGTTATTGGAAGTTGAGGTGGTGGCCACCATTTTAGTTTTAGGACACTTACTTTGGAGTCTACCTATGTCATTATTAAGTAAATGGAATCGATGAAGCTACCAACTTACCTTTACTTGTCAGTTATACGAAGCCTTGTCTTGCAATAATGTGCATATCATACAGTTCAAAATACGAATTTCACACAGCAATTGTAGTTTCCATCACATCTGTTATACAATCGATTTTTGTGTACAGATATTCAGCTCAATTTAACCATGAACTTATTATACAGTGTTTTGTACAATGTTTTTATTGTTGCAGCAAATAAACAATAATGTAATGTTTTGTTGCAAACTATTTTTCATTTAACCATTATAAAAGTTTTTTTTGGAACGGACATAAAGATAAGAATTGATCACAACAAAGACGATTCAGGATAAGGTTTTTCCTACATATAGTATGTCGATAACGACAGTCTCTTGTTGACAAGGTCATTGGTTGTGCCTTAGATAATAAGTGTTCATATGCCAAATTTGTCTCATTCACAGTTTAGTATTTTTATATTCCCTTGTGCGTGAAAATGGTAAAAATAACGAACAGCGTTCGATCTAAAACAATTCAAATCTATGAACAAGAATGAAGCACTGGGAACCCAAGAAATTCCCGAGTTGGGACCAACTTCTTAGGAGAGGTAAACATCCCCTGTGAGCCCTTTGCATTGGTCATATAGACGGAATTTAACATCCCGAAGACGAATTAAATATATAAATAAAGCTAGGTCTAACAATGGGTTTGAAACACTTCAGCCAAAGTACGACTTAATGATAAGTTATTCTTCTTATATATCATATCATATCATAGCGGACATGCAATTTAGAACATACTGACTTTATCAGTGATTACACGAGCCTGTTGAAATTCCAGTAAAGTTTACATCTGTATCAATTATAAGTGTATTCTTATCCTGTCTCGGTTGAAAAATGAATAGTACTGAGGACATGCTGTTGATTATCAAATAAGGTTGGAGATGTAAACACCATACGAGGGCTATAACTAATGTCCTGAGCTCTGTAACATACAACATAGAAACCATTTGACATTAAGTTTGACTCTTTATCATGAATAAATCTTTCATGAGTTGATAAAAATTTATATGACCACTTTTCATCACACAGTTTCACTGTGAGAAGCTGGAAAACAAGGGATATTCGAGACTCTGCATTAAAAATGATTGGTAAAGAATCGGCAAACTAGAGTGAAATCAATCGCTTCATTAAAGCTGCTTTAAATTTATTAAGAATCCCTAAGAAATTTTCACTGAAATATGTAAAATCCACAGCAATCAATGTCAGTTTTACAGACACATGAGCAGGTGGATTTCAATGATCCAAAATGACACAATTGGCATCAAAACTGGGTACCGTCCTTGGCGAAAAGGACTTTTTTCAACGAATTGTCACCGATGGTGTTTGATTGACTTTAGGACACATAGCAAATGAGATAGACATCATTTTGGGGCAGTTTAAATTCTAAATGAAAAGTTTATCTTACAATTCATTAAAACTTAAAAAAAATTATAATTTCAAAAGATATAAAATTTTCAAAACATAAAAATGCGTTCAATCTTATTAGTACAGAAATTCTGGTGCAAATTTGTATAATATATTTTGTTACGAATTTGACATTCTCCATATGGATAAGTTAAAAACAAGATGTTTCCCGTTATATGAGTCGTTAAAATAATGATTCGATGAATGATTGAATGAACCCCGAAGGGCGTTATAGTAGATTTGATCACGTACCGACTTCATGTCATACCCCAATGAAACTCTAAAAACTGATATTTTATTTCTTATATTTATATTTTACGTTTTTATTCATGTTACAAACAAATACAGGCAATAATCCGACTTTGATTTTGAAATGCAACACAAAGTATCTACGACGTTATGTGACGTCACAGTCAGAACTTTCCAAATTGCTCTTGCAGTTTGCATTCAATACGCAGGAATATCTGATCATGTGACCAACTGCATGTCATTGAAAATTGAATTTCAATTTCATTTGCATTGTTATATAAGGAAAAACATCAGCAAATGTAAATATTCTTACTTATTTGTTATTATTGATTAATGTTAACTGGTATTTATCATGACCTAGGTGCAAATTGTTCACCTCGTACCGAATTTTCTCCATGTTTTGAGGCATACGTTATGTAAACTCACCATTAATTGGTCTTCAAATGCATTTACATAGTACTGAATGTGCTTACCTTTGATAATTTGGATAATTTAATAAATCCAATCATTGATAATTATGGTAAAACCTTGCAATTTGATTTTCATACTAAGCGGTAAAAGTTATAAACTACATTCGGAACACCTCGGATGAGTATAATAGTTAACTACTCGTACATCCGAAGTTTTCCTGTTTGAAGTTATGGCGCCAAACCTCATGCATTCGACGTCATAAAGAGTGTAAAGGCTTTATATACGAGCTCCCAGGGCTCTTACGGACAGACGCCTGCGGTCTCACCCACGGAAAGGTCCATCAGACGGACCAGTTCCGAATTAAGACGCCTTGACATTAGAAAGGTTCTGTTTGAGACAGAGAGACGAAACAAATTGACACCCGATGGGTAATTATTAACCTGAACTTATATTTAATTTGTTAGCAACGTTTGATTGCTTTATTCATTCATTCAGTTTACTCAGACACACGAAATGATCTGAACTCATCGTTATTGTTTACTGTTGAGTAGTATTTAATAAGGCACAAGAAGTGACCTGAACTTGATATTTATAACTCCTGACATTATTAATAACAAATGCAAGGTGCATTGTATTGAGTTATTATTGAGAATTTAGCATAACTTTTTGTCCCTAAACAATTAGTTGTTTGCTATAGCTATAACCTTAGAATGTTATTAACAAATGCTAAAAGCATTGTATTGAGATATTAGCGTAACTTTTTGTCCCTATACAATTAGTTGTTTGCTATAACCTGACATTTTATCTATAAACTCACTAAGTAAAGAAATCACTTGTTCAATCTTGATTGAAGACCTAAAGGTATATTAAGGTCTATTCGTGTTTACTAAAGGGTTTGTTTGAGGGTCGTCTTTAAATTAACATTTGTTGGAAAGGGTAGTTGGGTTTGTTTTTATTTCAGGTGATGAAAACAGAGCCAAAGAAGAGTTTTGAGTATGTTTATTAGAATGAAATCTAATAAAATATTAAAAACAATTTATATCCTGTTGTCTTTCGTTCAACATTCAGATTACCGGTAAGGAACCCCACAATGTTACGCCGCTAAAAATAGACAGCTGTAATATAAGTCGTAACAATTAAAAAAAAAATAATTTTCCGTACATTTTGCCTCTATTTTGAAACAATTTGCCACAGATGGTTATTATAGGAAGTTGGGGTGGTGGCCGTCATTTTAGTTTTAGGACACTAAATTTGGAACGCAAAATATTACGAAAACTACTTAAAAGAAAACGTAAATGGAAATGATTGATTAAGCTAACAACTAACCTTCAATCATCAGTAAAATGAAGCTTAGTATTACAGTAATGTGCACGTGCATACAGTTCACAATACGATTTTCAAATAGCAGTTAGCTATTCCTTCGCATCTATAATCCAATTGATTTTAATGTACAGCTTGATTTCACTTTGTATTTATTATATTGTGTTTTATGCAGTGTTTTCATTGTGGCACCATATTAACAATGTAATGCGTTGGTTCACTCTTTTTGTTTTACACTGAAAGTAAAATAAATTATACTCTTGTTTTAATTCAAATCTTATTTAAATCTGAAAAAACAAAATATAAAATAAGGACATAATTTAAACCCATAAAAGTATTGCTTAAGGGTTTACCACTCCTCATGTAGATATTGATATCATTTATTCAAAAATAATAAAGTAATATAATATATACTTTGGCATGAATTAAATTCAATTAATTAAACAACAAAGGTAAAAATTGAACAATTGTATAACATTTAAATGTTAATCTTATCATGTTTATAACTTTTTTACTGTCTTTCTACATGAAGGACCCCAGAGGCGACCAGGCACTACAAAACAGTCCTCCCCTGGATGACCACCTTCTTGTCCCTCGCGTTTGTTTCCCCGCGGACAAGGGTGTTCCCTTAGGTGGACTCTGTGGCTTCCCGGCGGAGCCTCGCCTTCTCATCACGGAAACGCTTCCTGCATTTGATATGGGAGCCAGTGGCATGTTCCTTGTCCAGGATCTTTATAATTGCCCTAACAAAAAAACTTAACTACAGTTTATTATGGTTAACTATAGTTAACAATAGTTAATCAAAGTGTCAAAGTGTTTTCGAGAAAGTTTTTCAAAGTGTCAAAATTTTCACCAAAGTTTTTCAAAGTGTCAAAGTTTTGGCCAAAGTTTTTCAAAGTGTCAAAGTTTTCGTTAAAGTTTTTCAAAGTGTCAAAGTTAAAATCAAATTTTTCAAAGTGTCAAAGTTATAACTATAGTTAACTAGAGTAAACTATAGCTTACTATAGTATTTTTTTGTTAGGGTAAGGTTTTGCACAATTTGTCCCAAAGGACTGACATTCTCCCCATGCTGTTGTCTTCTATGTCGGCGTACCTGCTTTTTGCGTTTGCTGACATATCGACAACTGTCGATACTACAATGGAAGATTTCAATGTTTTGCTGGTGGTCCTCCCGCCAATGTTCTTTGCACGCTCGGTAGTTTGAGAGCCAGGTGGTGCAATTGTCTGCAGAGCAGACCATCCCCCCTTCCTGAAATACATGTCTAATATCTCGGTTCAGCTCGTCTATTTCTGCTTGACTAACGAATACGTCTTAAATATCCATAAGGAGCAAACATCTGAAAAACAGTTGTACAACATGGAACTGATTTGATTTTCAAAACAAATCAATTATGCCAAGGTAATACTAGAGTATAGGAATAGGGCCCAACAGTACAACGTTTTTTAAATAGGCCAGCTCTTTTATATTACTATGTAATGATAGATAAAACAAATTTTAAAATATAAATATTAATTACACAAATTTGATAATTTAGTACATGTAAAAACATGCCTAAAAAGTTAATATAATATATTATTATTACGGTTAAGATGCTTTTTTGTTTCATTTTACAATCAACATTTCGGATACTTGCACTTCCCACGTTAATCATGGATATATACATTGATTATACACACAGTGGTAAAGGTCCATACATTAAAATTCTTACTTTTAGATGACCAGTTTCATTTGATACAGATCTCTCCCGGCTGGTTGTACTGGTATGTCATACAGTAATAAAACTCCGGATCTTGACAATTTCACTTCTTCATTGTATCCCAGTCATTGCTGCTTCTCTAGTTGTCATGGTTGAACTGGCTTTTAGCCATCTTTTAGAAGCTGAACTGTATATTGTTCAAATTCAAAATGAAACGAAGATTAAAGTGCATATGATGTCCTACTTCTATGTTCTTGATTTTTTCATTGTATTTCTTTTTCATATGAGCGAATGCAAGTAGAAGTTTGTATGAAAATGTAGTTGTGTAGAAATATATCTACTTTGAGCTTCCTATTTTCATTATCATCCAGCAACAACCAGAATTTAAATGTTCTGATAATTTTTTTACCACTTACTTTACACATGCTTTTAATTTTTGCAAATATGATACGATTGACCCTTTTTAAAATTGTAGATACCATTCTACCAGAGAAAGCTGGCCTTATCCTTAACTTTCATTAAACCTTAACAAACTTCATGAGTTCAACAAATATAAAATATTCAAAAGTTAAAAGTGCTTTCAATCTTATTTGCACAGAAATGCTATTGCAAATCTGTATAATATATTTTCTTAAAAACAAATTTCGATGCATTTTTGCCTTTATTTTGAAAAAAGTATTCCAACAGATGGTTTATATAGGAAGTTCAGGCGGTGGCCGCCATTTAAGTTCTAGGACACTAAATTTGGAACGAAAAAAATCTCTGAGACTACTTAAGTTCAAAGGAAATGATTAAGCTACCAACTTATCCTCACTCGTCAGTAATATGAATATTAGCCTTGCAATAATGTGCAAAACACAGTTGATAATACGAATTTGAAATAACACAGTTAGTTACATGTATTCCCTAACATCTGTAATCCGATCGATTTCAATGTACAGTTTGATTTCACTTTGTGTTTACTACACAGTATTTTATACGGTGGTGTTTTTATTGTTGCACCAAATAAACAATGTAATGCTTGGTCACACTATTTTTTTTTGAAAATTTATCTGAAAATCAAATAAATTATACTCTTGTTTTAATAGAAATCTCAATTAAATCTGAAAAAGCAAAATATAAAATAAGGACATTCTAGCAAATCAAACCCACAAAAGTATTGCTCAAAAGGTTTACCACTACTTATGCAGATATTAATATCATTTATTCCAAAGTAATATAAAATATACTATGGCACGAATAAAATTCAATTAAACAACAGAGATAAAAATGAAACAATTGTGTAACATTTAAATGTTAATCTTATCATGTTTTTAACTTTTTCACGGTCTTCCTACATGAAGGACCCCAGAGGCGACCAGGCACCACAAAACAGTCCTCCCCCTGGATGACCACCTTCTTGTCCCTGGCGTTTGTTTCCCCGCGGACAACTGTGTTCCCTAAGGTAGACTCTGTGGCTTCCCGGCGGACCCTCGCTTTCTCATCACGGAAAGGCTTCCTCGCATTTGATATGGGGGTCAGTGGCATGGTTCCTTGTCCAGGATCTTTATACTTCAGGTTTTGCACAATTTGTCCCCAGGACTGACATTCTCCCCATGGCGATTCCATCCATGTCGGCGTACCTGCTTTTTGCGTTTGCTGACATATCGACAGCCGTCAATACTACAATAGAAGATTTTGATGTTTAGTTGGTGGACCTCCCGCCAATGTCCTTAGCACGCCCGGTAGTCTGAGAGCCAGCTGGTGCAATTGTCTGCAGGGCAGACCATCCCCCCTTCCTGTCATACCTGTCTAATATCTCGGTTCAGCTCGTCTATTTCTGTCTGACTAACGAATAAGTCTAAAATATCCATAAGGAGCAAATACCTGAAAAACAGTTGTACAACATGGATTAGATTAGATTTTTCAAAACAAATCAATTATTCCAAGATAATAGCATAGTAAAGGAATAGGGCCCAACAATACAGCGTTTTTTAAATTGTCCAACTCTATTATATTACAATGAAATGATAGATGAAACAAATTTTAAAATATAAATTAAACAAATTTGATAATTTAGTTAAAATGCCTAATAACTTAATATTATATAATATCATAACGGCTAAGATGCTTCTATATTTCATGTTAACAATCAACATTTCGGATACTTGCACTTCCCACGTGAATCCTGGATATATACATTGATTATATACACAGTGATAAAGGTCAATACATTAAAATTCTTACTTTTAGATGCCTAGTTTTGTTTGATACAGGTCTTCCCCGGCTGGTTGTTCTGGTATGTCATACAGTAATAAAACTCCGGATCTTGACAATTCCACTTCTTCATTGTATCCCAGTCATTGCTGCTTCTCTAGTTGTCATGGTTGAACTGGTTTTTAGACATTTTTAGCAGCTGAACTGTATATTGTTCAAATTCAAAATGAAACGAAGAATAAGGAGCATATAATTTCCTGCTTGTATGTTCTTGATTTTTTTGTTGTATTTATTTCTTTTTCATATAAACAAATGCATGTAGAAGTTTGTATGAAAATGTAGTTGGATAGAAATCTATCCACTAACAGCTTTTCTGTGTTCAGGATCATCCAGCAACCACAAGAATTAAATCATTCTGATAATTTTTTTACCACTAACTTTACACATGCTTTCTATTTTTGTAAATATGATAATTTGACCCTTTTTAAAATTGTAGATACCATTCTACCAGACAAAGCTGGCCTTATCCTTAACTTTCATTAAACCTTAACAAACTTTATGAGTTCAACAAATATAAAATACTCAAAAGGCAAAAGTGTTTTCAATCTTATTTGCACAGAAATGCTATTGCAAATATGTGTAATTAATTTTAAAAATAATTTTCCAAACATTTTGACGATATTTTGAAGAAAAAAAAATTGCAACAGATGGTTGTTATAGGAAGTTGAGGCGGTTACCGCCATTTGAGTTTTAGGAGACTAAATTTGGAACGAAAAAAATCTCCGAGTCTTCTTAAGTAAAATGGAAATGATTAAGCTACCAACTCACCTTCACTTGTCAGTAATATGAATCTTGGTCTTGCAATAATGTGCCAAATACAGTTCACAATTCGAATTTCAAATAGTATAGGTAGTTACATGTATTCACTAACATCTGTTACATGTATCCGATCGATTTCAATGTACAGCTTGATATTTCACTATGTATTTATCATGCATTATTTCATACAGTGTTTTTATTGTTGCACCATGTTAACAATGTAATGTTTTGTTGCACTCTTTTTTTAAACTGAAGTAAAATAAATCATTCTATTGCTTTATTATAAATCTCATTCAAATCTGAGAAAGCAACATATTTTTCATTAAACCATTATTAATTCAAGTATTTTGAAACAGACATTAAAGAAGAACAGGCCTGCAAGGGCCCATAAAACGTAGACGAACTCACTTTTGATCTCTGTCTCACTTCAATATATTCTTTTGGTAAAAGTGAGACTATGAACAAAAGTGGGTTAGTATAAGTTTTATGACCCCAAATAATTAATATACAACTAGTACAACTGGTTTGAACACAAGTTCCTACGAGGTTCTCAACATAAATGGCTACAACTGTCACGCAATGTCTATACACAGAAAAAAGTTTAACGAGGCTAGGGGGTGGCAGCCATTTTTAGACTATTTTAATCTCCTTTAAAAGGAGAACTCCATATAAAGATATACAAAAATGATCCAATTTTAAAACTAAAATATATGAAATTTTTCTTTGCCAAATGATAGTTGACAGCTAAAGATACCGTATCTACAAAAATAAGTTAAATCTGGTGGTTAATTTGGGATTAATTTGTTGACCCACTAGCCTCCTTAAAACATCCATTCTTTACATGATAAATATACTGTATAACTAACTAGTGTTTTAGTATTAGTTTGTAATAATTAATTGAATCTATCCGAATCACTTATGAACTTATAAAATTATCTAACTCACAGTTCATTGTTTTATATTCCTTTTTGCATGGAAATAGTAAAAAAGAAGAGCAGTGTTTCATCGAAAAAAATATAGAAGGATATGGAGATAACGAGCAGTTTTCAGTCTCAAAGTCCATAAAACAATACAAAGTAAGAGCAGAGCAAACACGGACCCCCGAAACATCAGAGGTGGGATCAGGTGCCATGGAGGAGTGAGCATCCCCTGCCGACCGGTTACACCCGCCGTATGCTCCTTGTCATGATCAGGAAATAACGGAAAAATTCCGTCGTCAATTCAGTGTATGAATAATGGACTAACAATTGGTATGAAAAACGTCAGTCAGCATTTGACTTAATAATAAATCGTATTTGCTGACAAGGTCATTGTATCGACCATAGAACTTACAAAATGATGACTTTAAACGAGACTGTTGATATTCTTGTTTCATCAACTTGCTTGTCAATAATTTACCTCGTTTTAGAATTGTTCATACGTAGAGCATGCTCTTGCGTATCAAATCAACTGAGATATATGTAGTCCTTATGCAGGTGATGACGGTATATTGCTGCATAAGTAAGAGAAGTTGACGATAGAAAGGTTCAAGTCGTCACGTTTATCATATAGCTAGGTTTTTAGATTACCATTAGTGTTTTTTTTTTTTCAAGTAAAATATCCAAATATGAAACAGATGTGTCAGAGTATGTAATATCTTTTACCTCAAGCTCACCAGGATATATCATATCGACGTAGGAATGGAAATTATCATTATTAATTGACAATTCGTCGTCGATGTATCTCAATGTCGAGTTGAAGGCCACAGCTAGTGTTTTCTTCTTTTCAGGCATAAGATTTTGCATAAACTCTGCTTCATATGAATATAAAAATAAGTCTGCTAATAACGGAGCGCAATTTGTATCCATGGGAATTCTAATATATTGTTGGAATACCTGGTCTCCAAAAAACACATAGATATTGTCAATCAGAAACTCAAGCATCTTCTTGATGTCAACTTCAACTTTGCAAATGACCAATGACGAGGTAAGTAAATTTACGAGTTCCATTTTTACTGAAGAAGCAGCTGTCAATGATATCAGAAAGACGTTAATGGTAATCTAACAACCAAGCTCTATGATAAAAATGATGACTTTAACTTTTCTATCGTCAACTTCTCTTACTTATACGGAAGTAAACCTTCATCACCTGCATACGGAGTTTTTCACAGTTGATTCGATAAGCAAGAGCATGGTCTAAGTAGGAACAATTTATAAAACGGGGTAAATTATTGATAAACAAGTTGATGATACAAGAACATCAGCAGTCTCGGTTAAAGTCATCATTTCGTAGGTTCTATGGTAGATACAATGACCTTGTCAGCAAATACAGTTTAACATTGAGTCCAATGCGGACTGATGTTTTTCATTCTCATTGTAAGTCCATTATTTAAACACTGAATTGACGACGGATTTTTCCGTTAATTCTTGATCATTACAAGAAGCACACGGCGTGCATGACCGGTCGGCAGGGGATGCTCACTCCTCTATAGCATCTGATCCTACCTCTGATGTTTTTGAAGTCCGTGTTTGCTCCTATTTTGTATTGTTTTATTGTCTTTTGATCTTGAATATTGTTCGTTATCTCCATATGTTTCATTGTAGTTATTTACACTTTTTAGGCTCTTTATATCTGATTTTCAGCACTTTTAGGAAACGCTGCAGCAAAAAAGCATCTAGGTTTCTCCTGTCTTTGAAGTAAGGGATATTGATTAGCGATAAGCAGAGCTTATGCAGGACCTACCTGGCAATGCTTTTATTTGTTAGATAGACTGATAAACTTTTGTTGACTGTAATATTGAAATGTTTGTCTGATAATTAATCTTGAAAAATTTAATTCTACGAAAAAGAACCGCAATTTTAAGCTACGTTTTCAAAGGTAGAATTTAAACAGGTTCTTCTGAAATAATGAGCCAATAATAAAATTCCAAGTCTTGTCTACTGGAACCATATAATATTGTTTGAATAGTCTTTACAAATGATTCATCATCTCTCTGATTTAGTGGAAATGGAATGATAGATGGTTCAAATAATGTAAATGTACTTTTTTCCCACGAGGTTTAAATTAAGCGAAATCAAATTCCAGTTGAGTAAATTAAGAATTTGAATCATTCTTTTAAGAAAAGGGAACATGAACTTCATTTAATGAATCATTAATTTTTTTTTATAGTTATCCCTTCCATAATTATTTTTCCGATTTTCTTTACTTTTACAGGTCCATCGATAACGCGAGATGGTTGTTTTTAATGCATGAAACAATGTATATTGTAAACGTTCCTTGACAAAACGTAATTATAAAATTAGTTTCCCAAAATAGAAAAAAATTCTCTACTAAAAATGTATGAATTGATGAACGCACATTTATATACCATCAGATTTGTAATGTGGCAAGTGAGTCTTCGGGGTCCTGAGTACCTGAACGAATCTTCTTGCAGAACAAAAGTAGTGTTAAGGGCCGTAAAATGTTCAAACAAAGGTCAAAAACGGATTTCTTGTTGAAGAGTAGCATTCTTAGATACGAAATGATTCTGACCATAGAGTAAACATCGTCTTTTGTTCAAAAGATCTCTCTGTAGAACAATAAACTTCTTAAGGCCGAAACCAGAAAAAGGACAAATTAAAAATCAAAACAATTAAACTAAAAAAGCAACAAAACAAAAACAAACAAAAAAAACCCAAAATGTACACGCCTTAATAGTAACAGTCTTTGTCCATAACGGACAGCAGAAACAGACCAAGGTCCATAAAGAATCTGTCTTTAGAGCAGTAACATGCTATGGTCCATGACGAATCTGTCTGTAGAGCAACGGAAGGTCACTTATAACAAGGAGGACCACGACAAACGTGATAATTCCACCTCCCAGAATGGAGCCGATGCCGGTTGAAGACTGCCTGTCGTCCTTGGCACACGTCTTACTTCTCAAAGTTGAGGAAAGATTTTCCATTTTCACTTTCAGTTCTTTTTTCAGTTTTTTAATTCGATTCTTGAGTATTACCGGGTCTTTGATAAAATTTTGGGATCGGACTCTGTTACATGGACATTTACAACCTGTATATATATATCAAAAATGATATATTTCAAAAATAAAATGTAAGATGTTTACTTAATTTTGATGATGGTTTTACCAACTTACGTTTACAAACAGGCTTTTCTCCTGTCCAGTTGCCACTGCCGTTACAAAATCTGGTAAGATCCCCGCCAGAGTGACGATGGTGTCTTTTACACGTGTAAGTCACATTATATCCCTCAAAATAGAATGGAAATGAACTTGTTTCACGTAGAGTTGTACTGTTCTCATGGATAGGGTCCCGACAGGTGACTACAAGGACACATAAATTAAATAATCTAAACACAGTTACACGTCCAAATCAACTAATAAAATGGTTTTTTTTTTTGCTTAGTTTTTGTATGTGTCAGAATAATATAATTAAATATTTAGATTAGGCTATAAGTGCTAAAAAAAATCTATTTTGTATCAATTAACTTTAAATGATCAATGAAACCCTGACCATTACAAACGGGAGGATCTCCGAACCATTGTCCCTCTTTCTGACACTCAAGTGTAAGATTACCACGTGTCAGTACATGACCTTCTAAACAATCGTAGACACGTGACTTTAGGAACGCAGTGAAGTTTACTCTGCCGTCATAATGATATTGTAATGCCAAATCGTCTACCATATGATGTTTGAGAACAGCGTTTGTAATGTTTTCACTCTCACATTTATCTACAAAATCACGCAAAGTATACATGCACCACCAGGGTTGTTTTTAAAGAAATCCGAAATTCAAGATCAGCATATTTATATATGATAAATTTCACGTTTACTATAAATGCCTGTTAGGTATATATGTAAAGTTTGGTTAAATACGACTCGCCTAACTTAGTTATCAAATCAAAATGTTTGTCTCCATCAGTCAAAAACATGATTTTTTTTCAAATATTCTCTTCCTATACATTTTACACAATGTCTGTCGTCAAACCATCCCATTGTAAACATTTTATAAGATACAGATAATATGTACCTACCTTGACAGTAAAAGTTGATAGATTTGTGCTGAATATGGGAAGTTTTTATAGCGCACTGAGATTTTCCATCACATTTCTTCAGTATTGAAACAAACTGTGAATCCTCGAACTCCGACAGATTCCTTATGGACAAGTATTTACTGTTACAAGTGAGGGCTAGGGATCCAGTATTAAACACTACATTAGTACTCCAAGGACCTAAAAGAAATGTGTATTTATACTAAGTTATAATTTATTTTTACCTTCAGAATTAGCCAAATAAATTTAATGATTTGAGTTTTTTTCTTTACTTTACCTTAAGAATCAGCGATATAAATTTAATTATTGAGTTTCTTTACTTATACATTAAGGCCGTACACTGTTTGTGCAGAGTACAGCTCAGGTTTAAATATGCAGTCTTCCACTAAAAAGTATTGGCTTCTCAAAATCAGTGAAAATTCTTGAATGGACGTTTAAACCAACCAACAGATACAAACAATCAAACAAAATAAATTGACTAGAAACTGAAATATAATGTTTGATATAATAAAGCCAACGTATGATGTGAATGATTCAGTTCTGAATCATTTTTAATGCCCCGCCATGAATATGGCCGGGGCATATAGTGTTTGTCATGTCCGTCTTCCGTCCTTCCATCCTTCTGTCCTTCCGTCACACTTTGCGTTTAGCTCTGTTCAAAGCTAAGTTTCAAAGAAACTATCCTAGATATTTTCATCAAACTTCATATGCTGATAGATATTGATGAGAACTTTGCAACTGCATCAACATTTTTTGACCCTGACCTTTTCTTTGACCTTGTCCTCACTTTTCTTAAATTAGTGTTTAGCTCAGATTTGAACATACCATTCAAGATGGTGTTATCAAACTTCACATGTTGATAAAAACTTGCACGGATGATGCATTTAGGGATGGACACTACCAGACTTGCTTCGGATGCTGGATCTGACCTACATTTTCCAGATAAGTGACCAGGTTAAAGTTTTTGGAGCAGGTCCATTTCCAAGGAACTATGAGCCCTACCCAAACCAAACTTGCATGGATGATGCATCTAGGGATAGACACTACCAGACTTGCTTCGGATGCTGAATCTGACCTACATTTTCATTCCCAAGTAACTATAAGCCCTACATGAACCAAACTTGCATGGATGATGCATCGAGGGATGGACACTACCAGACTTGCTTCGGATGCTGGATCTGACCTATATTTTCATTCCCAAGTAACTATAAGCCCTGCCTGAACCAAATTTGCATGGATGATGCATCTAGGGATGGACACTACCAGACTTGCTTCGGATGCTGGATCTGACCTACATTTTCATTCCCAAGTAACTATAAGCCCTGCCTGAATGAAACTTGCATGGATGATGCATCTAGGGATGGACACTACCAGACTTGCTTTGGATGCTGGATCTGACCTATATTTTCATTCCCAAGTAACTATAAGCCCTGCCTGAACCAAACTTGCATGGATGATGCATCTAGGGATGGACGCTATCAGACTTGCTTCGGATGCTAGATCTGAGCTACATTTTTATTCCCTAGTAACTATAACCCCTTCCTGAACCAAACTGATCAAATTTTATACACATACGAATTTTTATGTTGCTTTACTAATATATCCTCGGTGGGGCATTCATGTCCTATGGACATATTTCTAGTTTACGAAAAAGTCTAGATGATATAAAGTTAAAGGGTACCGATAAACCTTTGTTTGAAATTTCTTTGAAATACCTACTTTTTAGGTCCGTTCCACCTTCTCTATGGAAAAACCTATTGCTTTGTCTTTTTATTATTTTTCCGCTGGGTGTGTTTTTGAGTTTCTAGATTTATATTACATGAGAATGCACCTCATAAAATATTTTGCGCTTGACCCTGCTTATATGAACTTTGCCACATTGATATATTACCGCGTTTGCAATAAAGTTTATGTTATCGCTACTCCCAAGAAACTTACTAGTAGAGATACACCAAACCATAAACAATGTCTTCATCTAACTTCATAGACGCTCTGACGACTATCAGTCAGGGCGAAATATTTTGTTATTGCCCCTTAAACATTTTGATATTTACGAATAATTAAAAAAAATTCTAAAGACATGGAGCTAAATGCATCGAATTCTTCAAGACCATATATCTTGAAATGAATGTTAGGGTCAAAGGTCAAGATCAATCAAAATATGAGAAATTAACTCAATTAACATCTTTTATCATTCAAAATATGCTATAATATATCTCAGATGAAGGATATGGAAATAACGAACAGTATTCAATATCAAAGTCCATAAAACAATACAAAATAGGTGGGATCAGGTGCCATGGAGGAATGAGCAGTCCCTGCCGACCGGTCACACCCGCCGTGTGCTCCTTGTCATGAACGGGAAATAACGGAAAATCCGTTGTAAATTCAGTCTATAAAAATGAACTAGCTTACAATTCGTATGAAAAACTTCAGTCAGCATTTGACTCAATGATAAATTGTATTTTCTGACAAGGTCATTGTATCGACCATAGAAGTATGGAAATGATGACTATACACGAGACTGCTGCTACTTTTTTTTCATCAATTTGTAATTTTCCTCGTTTTAAAAATTGTTCATACGTAGAGCATGAAAAAGAAGCTGGATTTACCTGGACCCAATTAAAAAACATATCCTTAAGCAGAGTCCGATGGCGGTTTTGGCCCTATGCTCACTCAGGAGTGAACATGAAGAAGTCAAGTAAGTCAAGAGCATGCTCTTGCTCATCGAATCAACTAAGATATATAAACTCTGTATGCAGGTGATGAAGGTATATTATTGCATAATTAAGGGAAGTTGAGGATAGAAAAAGTTCAAGTCATCACGTGTTTCATAGAGCTTGGTTGTTAGATTACCATTAACGTATCTTTTAAAAGCGAATTTTGCTAACATTAATCCATTCTCTCTATTACCAGTGTCCTTACCAAATATTGTTTCGTTTGAGCAAGCACATTTATCGCCATCATCTTCAATACAACCTAAAATAATATTCTATCGTTAACCAAGTCTTCAAAAAAAAAAAACCACATGAGCACATCTGTTAATGAGTGAAAAATCATTCAATAAACAAAATCTAAGATTTAAAAGAAAATCACCGTAAATTTCCACCTCACAAGGCTCTATCATAACAAACTCTGTCCCTGGCTCGGATTTATTGACGTAAAGGAACACTTGTACACCGGACCGCCCTTCGGGAAAAATGATAGTGTTCTGATGACTGACATTGGCTTCCTCATCGTGATACACTGGCTCTAAAGAGGTAAGTTCACTTGCCCTTACAGTCCGATTTGTTATAAAGACATAGTAACCAGCATGTCGGGATACTAAAATAAAGAGAAATCATAAATATAAACACGATTTTACATGAACTGGAAAGCAGGCACAACCGTTTTATCCCCTCTCCCTTCGCATTGTATTACGAAAGAGAATACTCGAATTAAAAACACTCGTTTTGGACAACCCAATAAAGAAACTGATTTTCATACAACAATAAGGAAACTGATTTTCTCAAAAATACTTCTTATTTTTGTAGATGTAGGCCTGGAAGCCTATAACATTTTCTGTTTTTCCCTAGAACCACCAAGAAATGAAAACTAACGAATTTAGTATTGATATATACACACTAGTGCTAGTGGGGAGAATGATGCATTGAAAACCAAATCTGTGAAAGGTTTTAAGGTTGTTTTTATAAATCTTTCTTCTTACACATTAACCTTTAATTAAGGAAAACAAATTGAATCTTAAATCAAACATTTAATCGTTTTGTATATTTTATCACTTGATGAAGAAAACTTTAAATCGTTTGTCAATCATTTATAAATTTTAATGCACATACGTTTCTCACGAAAAACGAAGTTCATTTTGTAGATCATTGAGGGAGAAGAAAACGTCACTTGCCACCATGCATCTCTGTCAGGTTGTTTATCCAGGGATCCAGCGCAATCCCACTTGTGTCTGTAATATTTGGAATCCAGTGCTTTTTCAGCTAAAAGTTTTGACGTTACAGTTACTTCGTCGGGTAAGTAATACACGTATACCGATGACAGAGAGGCATTGTGACGATGAACAATCCCCAGATTACACATAGGATCTTGTGCTAAGACACAAAGACATACAATGTTAAACGTTTTAGACACACGCAAGAATAAATTCTAGTAAATTTCTTGTAGACGACTAGGTACATGTATTTATTTATTTCTTTTGATTGTTTTTACGTTCGTTAGAATCAATTTTAAAATATTTGCAATATTTAAAAAGTTTTTATCGTAAAAAGATTTAAAAATTACAACAAGGAAAAAGAATAAGTGTTTCGATTCGACATTTTTATTTGAATTTAGATGGTGAAAGTGTATATATGGATGTGTCAGTTTGGAGCTCTGAGGTTTTACCGGCCACTTCCATCTTTGTTCCCCTCATCTCTTATTAATGAATCGGGAACTAAATTACTCTTTACTTTGGATTAATAATGTGTGTTGTTGTAGAGTCCCACGAATGCGGAACTACGACTTGCTGCCAACAGGACCAATCATTAATCCCTGCCATCATTCACTATTGTGCGATTAACCACAAATAATTTTTTTTACCCTTACTACGCAATTAATATATGGGTTAAGATTTATTAATTCTTCTATTGACTCATATAGAAAGTTACTTTACCGCTTTTGATTTTTGGAAGAAATCTTAATATTATTAATTTTATTGACGCACAATATCAGTATATATACGTTTTCACATAAGATCAATCTGGACAGAAAGGAGATCAAAACATGACAAATTTGGTGCATTTTGAAATACACGCAATAATCCTCGAAGACAAACGCCTGTAAATATCCTTACTTAAAATATCGCATAATTCTCCGGTATACCCATATTTACAATCACAGGTGAAGTCAGTGTCAGAAATGGCCCTGCAACTGCCTTCATTGTAACACGGAGAACTTAAGCATGATGTAAGAAAATCTGTAAAAAAATATATATATATATATCATTTTTGGCATGGCTAATTATTTCAGATTTATATCATTGATTCAGAAATTTATCCTAAAACTAAAATATAAATTGTTAGTCTTTCGATTCTCTTGCCGATGTAAAAAGAAATTAAATATAACGATCAGTGACCGATCTTGATTAACTCCATAAACAATACAGATATGGGAAACGGGCTTAAAACACACACTTTTCTTTGCTTTAATATTTGTCATATTTAATAGATGTAATCATTGTATTAATGATAAACTTATTTATACTACATACTTACTAAATATAAAATAGTTTGAATAATAATTATTATTGAAAAATCCTGAAAATTCATATGCATATTCTTATTTAAACTACATACTTACTAAATATGATATAGTTTGAATAATAATATATTATTGAAACAAGAGGCCCAGGGGCCACATTGCTCACCTGAGCAATTTGCTGGGAAAAAGCACATATCAGATCAGAACTGAAAGTTTACTGAGTTTGGGGGAGGCTTGAATTTTTGGTTTGAACAAACTAGAATCTACACTACCTGAGAATGATTCCACATAAATATCACTAAGCATGGATATGAAGTACTTGAAAAGAGGATTTTAAAAGGTTTCGTTATACATACCTATGTTAAACTTTGATCGGCCATTTTTGCCCCTACCTATCCCCGGGGGTCATGATTTGTACAAACTTGAATCTACTCTACCTGAGGTTAATTATGTTCCCCAAACGAAGTTGGGGAACATATTGTTTTTACTCTGTTTCTTATTATGTTCCCCAAACGAAGTTGGGGAACATATTGTTTTTACTCTGTTTCTTATTATTATTATTATTATTATTATTATTTTTCTTCTTCTTCTTCCTGGAACTTTTTTGTCCGGGAATGATCTTGTAAACTGTTCGTCCGATGTAGGTAAAACCTTTTTAGGGTTGGTTGACATGTTATTTAGATTTGCGGAATCAAGGTCATTTTGCGCGCACGTGCTTGCAAGAGCGTGCACGTGCAACACGTGAAATGACCAATATAATAGATATAGCCACAACTGTTCTATTTTTAAATGAAATGCTTTGAAACTCATAATGTGATGATATATTAGTAGTATAGA